TAGTATATCTTAGAAGTCGTGTTGACCTCTTTTGTTCCTAATACCAGATTTGAATTGACGCGACTTTGACAAACCCTTTGTTATTCTTTTTTTTTCGGCTGTTCGAGCACACTACATTTTTTTCATGCTCTCTGGATCCTTGGAACGGCCCTACCATTGAAGTATAATGGATTTATTATCCGGTCCAGTAGGCGGCAGGAATGCAACGTTATATTGGATGCCAACCGCCGTTAAACCCCACCGAAGAAGGACACATAACAATGAGACAGATATTTCAATGGATGTATAAATGTGAAGTATCCGCTTGGCGTTTCCACTCACTTGGTAGTGAGAGGAAGCACAGTGGCCGGTAGTGGGAGAAGATGGAACAAGATGGATTTTTGCCGACATTCTGCTAATTTTTTCATCACTGAAACATTTGATATCAATACAGTTTTCTGTTTCCAAATCTACAATCTGTTACGAACAGAGTAGACAGTTTTTTTCCTCTTTATGTTGACACTAGGCTTAGATTTCTTTATTTTCACATCTCGAAAACAAACAACTGGGCAATGGTCACTAATATCTTGGGCAAGGACACCAGTATAAACATATATCTGGTGTATTCATTAAAATAAGATCAGAGTTGACTTTGAAGGATCTTTAGGGTTGGGCCATGTAGGCTTAGTCACCAGCTGGGTTAGGTTTAAATCGTTATACATGTATTTTAGATTGTATGAAGCCTGCATTTCCCAATCATAATTTAGGTCACCCAGGATAACTTCTGATTTAGTAAATGAAGACAAACGAGTTAACTCCTCGAGTGCACAAAGGTTAGCCGAGGGAGGACAGTAGACCCTAACAGATATGGATACATTTTTCCTCAGACAAAGGCTGAAAGATAGCTCAAATCTTTGGCAAGGGAAATGGATTTCAGCAAGGGCCACTCCACCACCTCTACCCTGTCTGTCAGCTCTGAACACATAACCCTCAATATTAATATCAGAGTCCAGAATTTCCCCAAAGATCCAAGTTTCAGTCAATACCAGAGTGTCCGGATTCGTCTGCATAGCCCAGATCTTGATGTATTCCAGTTAAGGACGTAAGCTCCTACTGTTCCGATACATCAACCCAAGTCCTTTACGATTTCTAAAGTCACATGGAGTCTCCAACTCAAAGAAGCTACAGTGGGGAGAACAAGTATTTGATACACTGCCGATTTTGCAGGTTTTCCTACTTACAAAGCATGTAGAGGTCTGTAATTTCTATCATATGTACACTTCAACTGTGAGAGACGGAATCTAAAACAAAAATCCAGAAAATCACATTGTATGATTTTTAAGTAATTAATTAGCTTTTTATTGCATGACATAAGTATTTCATACATCAGAAAAGCAGAACTTAATATTTGGTACAGAAACCTTTGTTTGCAATTACAGAGATCATACGTTTCCTGTAGGTCTTGACCAGGTTTGCACACACTGCAGCAGGGATTTTGTCCCACTCCTCCATACAGACCATCTCCAGATCCTTCAGGTTTCGGGTCTGTCGCTGGGCAATACGGACTTTCAGCTCCCTCCAAAGATTTTCTATTGGGTTCAGGTCCGGAGACTGGCTAGGCCACTCCAGGACCTTGAGATGCTTTAATGGAGCCACTCCTTAGTTGCCCTGGCTGTGTGTTACGGTTGGGATGGTGTTCTTGGGGTTGTACTCATCCTTCTTCTTCCTCCAAACACAGCGAGTGGAGTTTAGACCAAAAAGCTCTATTTTTGTCTCATCAGACCACATGACAGTCTCCCATTCCTCCTCTGGATCATCTAGATGGTCATTGGCAAACTTCAGACGGGCCTGGACATGCGCTGGCTTGAGCAGGGGGACCTTCCGTGCGCTGCAGGATTTTAATCCATGACGGCGTAGGTTGTTACTAATGGTTTTCTTTGAGACTGTGGTCCCAGCTCTCTTCAGGTCATTGACCAGGTCCTGCTGTGTAGTTGTGGGCTGATCCCTCACCTTCCTCATGATCATTGATGCCCCACGAGGTGAGATCTTGCATGGAGCCCCAGACCGAGGGTGATTGACCGTCATCTTGAACTTCTTCCTTTTTCTACTAATTGCGCCAACAGTTGTTGCCTTCTCACCAAGCTGCTTGCCTATTGTCCTGTAGCCCATCCCAGCCTTGTGCAGGTCTACAATTTTATCCCTGATGTCCTTACACAGCTTTCTGGTCTTGGCCATTGTGGAGAGGTTGGAGTCTGTTTGATTGAGTGTGTGGACAGGTGTCTTTTATACAGGTAACGAGTTTAAACAGGTGCAGTTAATACAGGTAAGAGTGGAGAACAGGAGGGCTTCTTAAAGAAAAACTAACAGGTCTGTGAGAGCCGGAATTCTTACTGGTTGGTAGGTGATCAAATACTTATGTCATGCAATAAAATGCAAATTAATTACTTAAAAATCATACAATGTGATTTTCTGGATTTTTGTTTTAGATTCCGTCTCTCACAGTTGAAGTGTACCTATGATAAAAATTACAGACCTCTACATGCTTTGTAAGTAGGAAAACCTGCAAAATCGGCAGTGTATCAAATACTTGTTCTCCCCACTGTATGTTCAATAGGCGGTTGCAGACCCTGTCTGATGGTTGATATTGATATAGTTGGTATGGCTATAAGATTGCATAGAACTGCACCATTTGGTCTAACCCTATTAGTAATAGAGGAAACAGTAGAAATTGTAATTACTTTTCCAAGGTTAGCACCACAGGGCCTGAGGCCGCAGCCAATGTCAATATGAGGAACTCTCAGAGTAACCAATGATGGAATGTTATAAACTGACTTACATGGACTTTAGTTGCTATCGTACAACAGCTCAAGCCCTCTATGTGATTTGAAAACTGAGGGGGTATTCAAGTTGATGGAATTCACATTTGAACTAATAGCACTGGATGAGCAGACAGCAGGGGGGTTCTCTTTTGCACTAACAATAGCAGATCTAAGAGTGGAGTTCAAACGAAATGGTATAAGATTACAACTGACAACACCCCTGGCAGTATAGACAACAGCATGACGATAATGCTTAGAATGGATGGGAAGTATTACCTGAGTGGGGCTTGGTCTGTCATAAGATTGATATCATTATGTAGTAGGCTTACACAGAAACGCACACTGCATAAAAGGTCAAGGTTTTTTCAGATGTAGACCTATGCTGCCAACACTCCCTCTATGAGCTCCATTCATAACAGTCATAAGATGTCATGTGTAGCCTATCAAATTTAAAGTAACGCTAAATGAAATAGTCATTGAATTGTTCACACAGCTGTAGGGTGGCCCAGCCCCCAAGTGACTTATCAACACAATGCAAAAGGTTTTATTGTCTTCTCAGGAATTCAGCGTTCTCTGTGTTGCTCTTGCCAACTCCCATTGTCAAACCTCTGAGAAGCAAAGGTTCTGTTGTCTTTACAGGTGTAGGTCTGATATCTGATTGAAGGTTAACTTTACAGTAATGCTATTGGTCAACAACTCATATTTTGAATCCAAACAACTCAGATGTTATAAAAGGTCTTAGATTCATTGTCTCTTTCTTTTTTGTTCCTGACATGCTGTGGTGAGATACTCTCTTTCTCCCTCTCCCATGAGCTGTGAGCCATGGCACAAGCCATGGTTTCTTTTGTTCTCTCTCTTATCCTGTATCCAGTCCATGAAATGAATTCCAGGTGACTACCTCATGAAGCTGGTTGAGAGAATGCCAAGAGTGTGCAAAGCTTTCATCAAGGCGTGGCTATTTGAAGAATCTCAAATATAAAATATATTTTGATTTGTTTAACACTTTTTTGGTTACTACATGATTCCATATGTGTTATTTCATAGTTTTGATGTCTTCACTATTTTTCTACAATGTAAAGAAAATAGTAAAGTAAAGAAAAACCCTTGAATGAGTAGGTGTCCAAACTTTTGACTGGGAGTGTATATATATTATGACTGTAAGTCGCTTTGGATAAAAGCGTCTGCTAAATGGCATATTATTATTATTATTATTATTAATCCAGTCAGATAAACACTCCAAACAGCCTACCCGACCACTCGGAGGCGTCCGCATGGTCCTAAAGCACACCGTTGCCCTGTTTTGTATCACATTCCAATGAAAAAACTGTTTCTACAATCAAGTTGTAGAAACATCTCAAGGATGATCAATGGAAACAGGATGCACCTGAGCTCAATTTCGAGTCTCATAACAAAGGATCTGAATACTTACGTAAATAAGGTATTTATGTTTTTTATTTTTAATACATTTGCAAAAAAATATAATAACCTGTTTTCTCTCTTTGTCATTGTGGGGTATTGTGTGAAGATTGATGAGGACATATTTTTATTTAATCAATTTTAGAATAAGGCTGTAACTTAACAAAATGTGGAAAAAGTGAAGGGGTCTGATTACTTTCCGAATGCACTGTAATACTGGTTTAACTATTTACATTTACGTCATTTAGCAGACGCTCTTATCCAGAGCGACTTACAGTTAGTGCATACATTTTTTCATACTGGCCCCCCGTGGGAATCGAACCCACAACCCTGGCGTTGCAAGCGCCATGCTCTACTAATTGAGCTACAGGAGGTTAACTATAGTCTCTTGCATACTGCTATTTATCTTATGGAGTCAGATAATTAATTTAATGGGCTAATTGCTTAGTCTTATTTTACGAGTTGCATATGAGGTGTATACTGTATATAATATATGCATATGATTATTATTATCCCACTACACAGACATACAAAGGGCCTTGAAAACGTGTTCACCCCTTCACATAGTTTTCATTTAATTATCTTGTCTGAAATATAAGAAAATAGAAGATAAATAAAATGTGTCAAACTGTGCAATGGGCAAGACGCATTCACACAACATACACATTCAGTACAGGTTTTGAATTCTAAACCATCTTCCTGTCACACAGGTTTGTCAACATATCTTTGTATGTTTCTCTCTTTCAGTGCCTAGACTGTCCTTATAGCTCCTATGTACTGTAATCAATGGAGCCTCAAGATCTAACCAAAGTGGTGCTGCTGGCTTGTGGGTCTTTCAACCCCATAACCAATATGCACCTGCGTATGTTTGAATTGGCACGGGATTTCCTGGAGGATACAGGTATGTCTATTGATAATTTGTGGTCTGTCAACAGATTATGAATTTGTAAATCATCACTTTGTTGTATTTTGTGAGTTTAGGACCTACTTCCTCAGACATTTGCATTGCTTCCCAATTATGAGAAGTAGGCCTAGACCTAGTCAAATGAGTGGTAGTATTTTGTATTTAACTGAATTTGTATTGTCATCGTGTGCTCTACAAAATTAGCTGGCCCAACTCCTCTTTCTTTATGTCTCAGGACAGTACATAATTGTGAGGGGCATCATCTCTGCAGTGGGTGACGGCTATAAGAAGAAGGGTCTGATTGAGGCCTGTCACCGTGTAGATATGGCCAGGCTGGCCACAGACACCTATGACTGAATCAAGGTAGACGCATGGGAGAGCCAGCAGCCTGAATGGGTGGAGACAGCTAAAGTGATGAGGTGAGTGCTGATCATTTGTGTGTGGAGACTGTAGCTTAGTTATTGAGAGGGGTTGTCAAATCTATTTTGATTCAGTATATGTGTGATACAAAAAGAAAAAAAGCATTACTTGCACTGCGCTGAAATAATCTTGTATTACATTTATCCGGGGTAACCTAGCCCAAGATGTACTCTCAAGGAGCCTAACGTTACTCAAGGTCCAAGGATCTTATATTTTGTTTTCAGATGTAGACCAGTACTGACAGCCAAATACTCCATCTAAACGTGAATCGATTCCCAATTGTGATGCGATTCTAGAAACATAAAGCTCTTTACTTTCATATCTCATCAAAATAATTTCACAAGTGCAAAATATACACTACTGTACACTGTTTTAACCGGCTTTATCACAGTTGCAGCCGACAGTATTTTTCAGTGACAATACGTTTCTGGTGGCCTGCTAGGTTTTCGGCACTTGCTAGATGGCTAATTAGCACAGGTCTGTCTTCCGTAAACACGCGCTGTAACATGGACATATGGCCGTGTGGGAACACTAACCCTAACCCTATAAAGGTGTGTATCAATTAACATTTTTTTATATATATATATTTCTCGCTGATCTGAAAGATAAGTTCCTTATGCTTTCAAAACCGTACCGCAAGCGATGCGTGTTAATGATCAGACCGATCTTCGGGGCTCTTAACAAAACTCCCCCATACAGAAGACGCCGTCGTCTAGTGACTTATGTGTAATGTAATGGAACTGAGTCATGATCAAGGGATATGGGTAACCCAGCTTTTCGCTTTGATTGAATAGTGTCGACTGAGAATGACAGATGGGAAAAATAAACAATATGTACAGTGCCTTGCAAAAGTATTCATCCCCCTTGGTGTTTTTCCTATTTTGTTGCATTACAACCTGTAATTTAAATGGATTTTTATTTGGATTTCATGTAATGGACATACACAAAATAGTCCAAATTGGTGAAGTGAAATGGAAAAAAAATAACTTGTTTTAAAAGTTCTCACAGACCAGGCAAGAAGGGCATTCATCAGAGAGGCAACAAAGAGACCAAAGATAAGTATGTAGGTAGTCCCCTGTAGCTCAGTTGGTAGAGCATGGCGCTTGCAACGCAAGGGTTGTGGGTTCGTTTCCCACGGGGGGCCGGTATGAAAATGAATGCACTCACTAACTGTAAGTCGCTTTGGATAAGAGCATCTGCTAAATGACTAAAATGTAAATAACCCTGAAGGAGCTGCAAAGCTCCACCGCGGAGATTGGAGTATCTGTCCATAGGACCACTTTAAGCCCTACACTCCACAGAAGAGTGGCCAGAGAAAAGCCATTGCTTAAAGAAAAAAATAAGCAAACATGTTTGGTGTTTGCCAAAATCCATGTGGGAGACTCCCCAAACATATGGAAGAAGGTACTCTGGTCAGATGAGGCTAAAATTGAGCCCCGAGAACACCATCCCCACAGTGAAGCATGGTGGTGGCAGCATCATGCTGTGGGGATGTTTTTCATCGGCAGGGACTGGGAAACTGTTCAGAATTGAAGGAATGATGGATGGCACTAAATACAGGGAAATTCTTGAGGGAAACCTGTTTCAGTCTTCCAGAGATTTGAGACTGGGACAGAGGTTCACCTTCCAGCAGGACAATGACCCTAAGCATACTGCTAAAACAACACTTGAGTGGTTTAAGGGGAAACATTTAAATGTCTTGGAATGGCCTAGTCAAAGCCCAGACCTCAATCCAATTGAGAATCTGTAGTATGACTTAAAGAATGAATAGTTATGCACGTTCAAGTTCTTAAAAAAAAAAAATTAACCAATCTCAATGTTCAATATGCGCTGGATTTACAGTGGAGTTGTTGGAAATAATATTAATATTTTGACAACCCTGTTTGTATGCTTTTAAATGATATCAAACTATTTTCCAGTGATGAAGAGATGGATGTCTCATGGTAGGGTGGGGTATGCAAAATGTCAACTTTGAGCACCTCTATCTTCTAAATGTTTTATCATTCAGGCAAATACAGTATGTACAGCAAGTTTTGTTCAAATCAAAATCATTATTTGGCCCATTTGGAAATTAAACCCACAACCCTATTGTTGCCAGCACCATGCTCTAACTCATTGAGCCGGCAACGGTTGAATACTACTGTCCGTCTGGGACATTACCAGCCACATAGGGTTTGGTGACACCTAGTGACACTTAGTCACACCACCTGAAGATGGGTATGGTGGAACAGCAGGTGATCTGCCCTGAGGTAATAAAAAGGAAAGGTACATGGTGCTGGTTACATGTTTTACCGGCACAGGCTGTCTCTGTAGTAGTCAGAACATTGTTGCCAACTTTTTGACATTGAACCCTAAGATGCAAAAATCCTTCTCAGAATTTAGGAAATTCACACACTTTTACTTAAGCCCATTGCTTCAGACTTTCTAGCTTAATGTGTATTTGTGTGTGTTTATATTGGAGGTTCGGTAAATTTTTTACGTTGACATTTTAGTCATTTAGCAGACGCTCTTATCCAGAGCGACTTACAGTTAGTGAGTGCATACATTTTCATACTGGCCCCCCGTGGGAAACGAACCCACAACACTGGCGTTGCAAGCGCCATGCTCTACCAACTGAGCTACAGGGTACAACAGAAGACACATTTCAGTCTCGTATGGATTAATAAAGTATTCTTAATCTCTCCGTGAACCCTTTAAACGACGGCCCTCAGCTGAAGCTCCTGTGCGGCGCGGACATCCTGGAGTCCTTCGGCGTTCCTAACCTGTGGAAGCACGAGGATATCGCAGAGATCGTGGGCCGCTACGGCCTGGTGTGCATCACCCGCAACGGCTGTGACGCCTGTTGAATACTACCATCCGTCTGGGACATTACCAGCCACATAGGGTTTGGTGTTAGAGAAACCAGTGACACTTAGTCACACCACCTGAAGACGGGTATGGTGGAACAGCAGGTGATCTGCCCTGAGGTAATAAAAAGGAAAGGTACATGGTGCTGGTTACATGTTTTACCGGCACAGGCTGTCTCTGTAGTAGTCAGAACATTGTAGCCAACTTTTTGACATTGTCTGGCAACATTCCCTGATACCTGTCGCTTAAGTGTAAGTGAACCCTAAGATGCAAAAATCCTTCTCAGAATTCAGGAAATTCACACAGATTTTTACTTAAGCCCACTGCTTCAGACTTTCTAGCTTAATGTGTATTTATATTGGAGGTCCGGTACAGCAGAAGACACATTTCAGTCTTGTATGGATTAATAAACTATTCTTCATCTGTCCGTGAACCCTTTAGACGACGGCCCTCAGCTGAAGCTCCTGTGCGGCGCGGACGTCCTGGAGTCCCCAACCTGTGGAAGCACGAGGATATCGCAGGCCGCTATTTTACATTTTTTAAAACATTTTTGTCATTTAGCAGACGCTCTTATCCAGAGCGACTTACAGGAGCAATTAGGGTTAAGTGCCTTGCTCAAGGGCACATCGACAGATTTTTCACCTAGTCGGCTCGGGGATTAGAACCAGCGACCTTTCGGTTACTGGCACAACGCTCTTAACCACTAAGCTACCTGCCGCCCCGCTATGGCCTGGTGTGCATCACCCGCAACGGCTGTGACGCCCACAAGTTCATCCACCAATCGGAGGTGCTGTGGAAGCACCGCAAGAACATCCACGTGGTCCGCGAGTGGGTGACCAACGAGATCTCGGCCACGCACGTGCGCCGGGCCCTGCGCCGGGGCCAGACCGTCCGCTACTTACTGCCGGACCCGGTGGTGAGCTACATCTGGGAGCACGGCCTGTACAGTGCCGAGAGTGAGCAGAAGAACGCTGACGTCATCCTTGCCCCGCTTCAGAGACACACCGGCCCCTCCTCCAGCTGAGGTGGCCAGCCATATTGCCTGCTGCCAACTTGAATGCCTTGAGACCAGTGGAGGCTGGTGGGAGGAGATATAGGAGGACTGGCTCATTGTAATGGCTGGAATGGAATTGATGGAACGGAGTCAAATGTGGTTTCTATATGTTTGATACTGTTCCAAATATTCCATTCCAGCCATTATAATTAGCCCGTCCTCTTATAGCTCTTCCCACCAGCCTCCTCTGCTTGAGACTGCACTGTGTGTAGTAGGAGCTAGGGAGCATTTATCTTCTACTGGTTTGAGAGAAGACTTGTGACTTCACTGATGCTCACCAGTGCCAGAATGAGTGTGCACCAGAATAGCCTCTCTTGTGTGGCATCTCCTCAGAGATAGGGTGAATCTGCTGAAGATTAAATGTATCACTGTGTTTTATAGAATATTATAAGCACCCAAGTAGTGGCAGTCCCAAGGAGCAGAATGTAAATCCTTGATCTGTCACTAACAGTCAATCTGGTCCGTAGAGCGCTTTATCTGTATATTGCACAGATACCCATCAGAAACCCACAATCTGTTGTGTATATGTGAAGTCACACCGGGCATGAAACATAGTAGCTTGTTCATGAGCATTGATTATTTGTGTACAAATGAGAATTATTTGATTACAATGAGCCTGATGCAGAACTACAGAATTTTTTTATTTCGAAATGCAATGTGGTGATTAATATGCTCGTCCACCCTTAAGAGTACCTTCATTTTTTTAAATGCTGGCCTTTAGATGTGTGTGTGTTTTTGAATAATTCCCTCAGGCAAAGGCAGTTGGTATGTATGGAATCCGTTTACAGATATAGTAGAATAGAGTAACATAGAAACAGCATGGTGTGTATTGAGAAAAATGTAACGCTGTCTTTGTTTTGCAGCTTGTGAACACTTCTCTGTCAAAGTGTCATTGCTGTCTCCAAGAAAAATCAGTACATCGCAACTACATCCATCTTATAATGAGGAAATCCCAACCGTTCACACCTATTCTGTTTGCTTCAAATGCAGGTTATTAGTAAAAGGAAGTAGCCTTTTTGTTAGTCTATCACCTTTCCTGATCAGATAAGCATTTTTCTGATAATAACATGACATTTAAGGTTTTATATGTATTACAATAGTTGATTGAAGTGTAGATACAAAACCCACTCAGTGGTTGCATTAGTAGTGGCACTGTATGGAATCACTGAGTTGATTGGAACTGCAGACTGTCCCTTCATTCGTTTTTTTTAGTTTGGCAACATAGGCAATGCAGCCAAACGCTTCCAATCTTGACTTCCTTGTCTTATTTCTAAAATTAACTTGTGTTTCTTGATCAATGATCGAAACCCCTAGCCTAGTGGTGCTCAATTTAGCAGAAACTGAATGAAAGCTCAGGCCATACTCTCATCTCATATGTTCCCAAGCAAAACAGGCGAAATGGTTATTCCTTTTCAATTATGTACGATTTATCATCTCTGACATCATACAAGCAATCACTGTATCGACTCTAGTCATGTTCATACTAATATGTTATGTAGTAGCAGCAGGCATCTTCAAGCCTGTGTCAGGGTGCAACTCAATATTAGGAAGGTGTTCCTAATGTTTAGTATACTCAGTGTATGTCTGTGAGCATTTATTCTCACACTCTGTCCCTCCCCAGGTATTGACCCCACAGTTTGTAAAATCGCCCAGATGCTGTAACTGGGGAAGGTGATCGAGTAACAGGGTGACCTGTACACAATCAAAATCCTCAGCCCCTTCTGCAACTACACTTTCTCTTTCAGATTGGACCAGGAGTTCACCAATGGGCTAGACAGAAAGCACCGCAAGGTACGATCCAGGCAACCTGTTTAAGTCTCGCAAGCCAGACTTCCAAGTCTCGCACTGGCTCAGCTAGCTCTGGTCCAGGTCATTAGTGAGCGTTCCTTCACAAACAGTCTGCAGTTCAAGTTAGTGAAGGAATGCACCCTAATGACCTGGACCAGCCTTCTAGTCAGGTCGTGCGAGACTAACCTGACATTAACCACTTCGGTCAAAGATTAGATCATCCATCTTATATTCCTATTCTCTTTTCTCAGGAGTTATACTGTGAAGGCCAGGTCTGCAAGCAAGTTTTCAAGAATAATGTGTGAAGGAATGCACTTTAAGGTTTCAAGTTTTAATGTCACGTGCACAGGTACAGTGACATGCCTTGATTACAAGCTCCAAACCCAACAATGCAGTAATCAATATCAATATAGCACTAAAAATAACATAAGGTAGAACAAAAACACATGAGTAAGTAAGAAGCTATATACAGGGTAAGTTCCAGTACCATATTTACAATGTGCAGGAATACTGGAGTGATAGAGGTAGATATGTACAAGGGTATATAAGCTGTTCAGGAGCCTGTTGGTGTCAGACTTGATGCACCGGTACCGCTTGCCGTGTGGAAGCAGAGAGAACAGTCTATGGCTTGGGTGGCTGGAGTCTTTAACAATTTTCCGGCCCTTCCTTTCACACAGCCTGATATAGAAGTCCTGGATGGCAGGGAGCTCGGCCCCAGTGATGTACTGGGCTGTCCACACCACCCTCTTTCCACACCACCCTCTGTAGCGCCATATGATCAAGGGCGATGCTGTTGCCATACCAAGCAGTGATACAGGCAGTACTGATGCTCTCAATGGTGCAGCTATATAACTTTTTGAGGATTTGAGGGTCGGTCCGTCAGGAAGTCCAGGATCCAGTTGCAGAGCGAGGAGTTCAGTCCCAGGGTCCTGAGCTTGGAAGGCACAGTGGCGTTGAACGCTGAGCTGTAGTCAATGAACAACATTCTCACATAGGTATTCCTCTTATCTAGGTGGGTGAGGGCAGTGTGGAGTGCAACTTGAGATTGCGTTGTCTATGGATCTGTTGGGGTGGTATGCAAATAGGAGTGGATCTAGGGTGTCTGGGATGATGGAGTTGATGTGTCATAACCAGCCTTTCAAAACACTTCATGATTACAGATGTGAGTGCTACAGGGTGGTAGTCATTGTGGCATGAAGCCTTAGAGTTCTTGGCAACAGTAATGATGGTGGTCATTTTAAGACATGTGGAGATTACAGACTGGGACAAGGAGAGGTTGAAAATTACCGTGAATATGCCGGTCAGCTGTTCTGCGCATGCTCTGAGAACGCGTCCTGGAATACCGTCCGGCCCCACAGCCTTTCAAGTGTTGACCTGATTAAAGACCTTACTCATGACGGCCATCTTCTTGAGAAGAAGATAAGATGTTCTATGATGTAAACCAATTGTGTTTACTGCTAGACTGAACCCTAAGCATAGGGGAAAGAAACCCAGGTCCAAGAGCTGTACATTTTCTGTGTCTTGGGCAATATGACTTGACTGTTCATTTGATAGTCCCAAATGAAAAACGTTATACTGTTTGACCATTAGAGGGCACCATTGGATTATTGTTATAAAATTGTGTATGGTACATAATGTGAAAAGAACACAGAAGGGCTTGGTCGACATTTTTAAGAGGAGAATTCTCACCTGAATTAATAAAGGTCTATAACCCTCAAACTCAACTCTGGACCTCGAAGCCAGTTCCACTGCATTTTTTTATTGTTCCCCTCTAATCAGGGACTGATTTAGACCTGAGATACCAGGTGTGTGCAATTAATTATCAGGTAGAAGAAAAAAAAACAGCAGGCTCCCGACCTCGTAGGGTAAGAGTTGAGTACCCCTGGTCTATAATATGGATGTTTAAGAAAATTATATTCCACATTGTAAAGGTTTAGGAAATCTTAGCAGATATCAGTCAGTAACTGGAGAAAACTTCTGCAGTATTACCGGTACACAAAATCCAATTGTGTTCTTTGTGGTCCTCTGTTCTGTCTTGCCATGAGGCAAGGTGGGGAGCTGAGAATAATCTAAACTCAACTGGATTTGATTTGCCCAAAGTCATTAGCCTTTCTGCAAAAATCAGTTTTAAGAGAAATTCTAAAGACTTCAAATCAGATTTTATTGGACACATACACATATTTAGCAGATGTTATTGCGGGTGTAGCGAAATGCTTGTGTTACTAGCGCCAATGGACTTGCCACCAACTTGTCAATAAAATATCAATCATAGACTGTATAATATGGAATATGCATTTTTACATTACGAAAAATAGAAATGTGAAAATTGTTCACGGTCAATTAGTTTTGACTCTCCGTAGAGCCTTTATGATACTCTTATAAAACTCTATTTTCACTGCATTTTGAGCATGAGCTCATGTGTAGACTATCATCAAAAGCAGCAGCCAAAGGTTTCAGTGTCTATGTTTTAAGTGTAGATTTACATATTATCTGAAGATGTTCTTCTTCTGCAGGTGATCAGTGCTTCCTGAAGCTGACATGTCTAGGCCAGGACTCTCCAACCGTGGTCCTGGAGAGCTACCGTCTTGTAGGTTTTCGCTCCAACCCTAATCTAGCGCATCCAATTCTAATTATTAGCTGGTTGATGAGCTTAATCAGGTCAGATAAAACTGGTGTTGGAGCAAAAATCTACAGTAGGGTAGCTCTCCAGGAACAGGGTTGGAGAGCCCTGGTCTAGGCTATCACTTTTGTCTCCAAAACCCCTGTACCAGTGAACATAGCGTGAGAGGACTGGTTGTTGTATTAGCAGCAGTCAAAGATTTGGCAATAAGAGGCTGTGTTACCAGTAAATATATAGTCTCGTTTGTAGATCATGTGGGGATAGGATACCCACCGGTTGCAAGACCAGATTTGGGATTTGAACTGGCGACCGAGGTTGCTGGACTCTACCCCTAGGCTACCTGCCCCCCAAATATAATTAGCTAAATGTAATTTAACCACTATAATAACATGCATACAAAGTTATCACAGTTTAGTGTAAACAAGTATTATTTTGACACATACACTACTTGACCAAAATTATGTGGACACCTGCTCGTCGAACATCTCATTCCAAAATCATGGGCATTAATATGGAGTTGGTCCCCCCCTTTGCTGCTATAACAGCCTCCACTCTTCTGGGAAGGCTTTCCAATAGATGTTGGAACATTGCTGCGGGGAATTGCTTCCATTCAGCCACAAGAGCATTAGTGAGGACGGGCACAAATGTTGGGAGATTAGGCCTGGCTCGCAGTTGGCTTTCCAATTCATCCCAAAAGTGTTAGATGGTGTTGAGGTCAGGGCTCTGTGTAGGCCAGTCAAGTTCTTCCACACCAATCTCAACAAACCATTTCTGTATGGACCTCGCTTTGTGCACGAAGGCATTGTCATGTTGAAACCGGAAAGGGCCTTCCCCAAACTGTTGCCACAAAGTTGGAAGCACAGAATCGTCTAGAATGTCATTGTATGCTGTAGCGTTAAGAACAGCCCCAGATCATTATTCCTCCTCCACCAAACTTTACAGTTGGCACCATGCAGTCGGGCAGGTAGCGTTCTCCTGGCATCTGCCAAACCCAGATTCGTCCGTCAGACTGCCAGATGGTGAAGCATGATTAATCACTCCAGAGAACACGTTTCCACTGAGTCTAATGGCGGCGAGCTTTACACCACTCCAGCTGACGCTTGGCATTGCGCATGGTGATTTTAGGCTTGTGTGCGGCTGCTCGGCCATGGAAACCCATTTCATGAAGCTCCTAACAAACAGTTATTGTATTGGTGTTGCTTCCAGAGGCAGTTTGGAATTCGGTAGTGAGTGTTGCAACCGAGGACAGATGATTCAGCACTCGGCGGTCCTGTTCTGTGAGCTTGTGTGGCCTACCACTTTGCGGCTGAGCCGTTGCTCCTAGACGTTTCCACTTCACAATAACAGCACTTACAGTTGACCGGGGAAGCACTAGCAGGGCAGAAATTTGACACACTGACTTGTTGGAAAGGTGGCATCCTATGACGGTGCCACATTGAAAGGCACTGAGCTCTTCAGTAAGGCCACTCTACTGCCAATGTTTGTCTATGGAGATCGCATGGCTGTTTGCTCGATTTTATACATTTACATTTACATTTTAGTCATTTAGCAGACGCTCTTATCCAGAGCGACTTACAGGAGCAATTAGGGTTAAGTGCCTTGCTCAAGGGCACATTTACGTCATTTAGCAGACGCTCTTATCCAGAGCGACTACAAATTGGTGCATTCACCCTATAGCCAGTGGGATAACCACTTTACAATTATACTATTTTTTTAAATATTTTTTTTTTTTTTTGGGGGGGGTAGAAGGATTACTTTATCCTATCCCAGGTGTTCCTTAAAGAGGTGGGGTTTCAAATGTCTCCGGAAGGTGGTGAGTGACTCCGCTGTCCTGGCGTCGTGAGGGAGCTTGTTCCACCATTGGGGTGCCAGAGCAGCGAACAGCTTTGACTGGGCTGAGCGGGAACTATGCTTCCGCAGAGGAAGGGGAGCCAGCAGGCCAGAGGTGGATGACCGCAATGCCCTCGCCTGGGTGTAGGGACTGATCAGAGCCTGAAGGTACGGAGGTGCCGTTCCCCTCACTGCTCCATAGGCAAGCACCATGGTCTTGTAACGGATGCGAGCTTCAACTGGAAGCCAGTGGAGTGTGCGGAGGAGGGGGGTGACGTGAGAGAACTTGGGAAGGTTGAACACCAGACGGGCTGCGGCATTCTGGATGAGTTGTAGGGGTTTAATGGCACAGGCAGGGAGCCCAGCCAACAGCGAGTTGCAGTAATCCAGACGGGAGATGACAAGTGCCTGGATTAGGACCTGTGCCGCTTCCTGTGTAAGGCAGGGTCGTACTCTCCGAATGTTGTAGAGCATGAACCTGCAGGATCGGGTCACCGCCTTGATGTTAGCGGAGAACGACAGGGTGTTGTCCAGGGTCACGCCAAGGCTCTTTGCACTCTGGGAGGAGGACACAACGGAGTTGTCAACCGTGATGGCGAGATCATGGAACGGGCAGTCCTTCCCCGGGAGGAAGAGCAGCTCCGTCTTGCCAGGGTTCAGCTTGAGGTGGTGATCCGTCATCCATACTGATATGTCGGCCAGACATGCAGAGATGCGATTCGCGATTCGCCACCTGTCAGCAACGGGTGTGGCTGAAAGAGCCGATTCCACTAATTTGAAGGGGTGTCCACATACTTTTGTAGATGTAGTGTAAGACCTCCCCTGCATTGGGACCTCCCTTTGTAAAGTGTCAGTCCCCAGTCACATGACACATGATCCAAAATGGCAACCTTCGTGTTTTGATCATACCTCAGTGGTTTTTATGAATAATACTTTTGTGTTTGTTTCATTCTTTGTATAATACTAATACATAGCACACATTTGAGGAAACGCACGCATCCTCTGCTTTTTAACTTCGAGACAATCAAGACAAACTGCTATTTGTTTCACGAGTTAGACTATGCACATTTGGTCCTATTAAACAGATAGCTAGCTGGCTGACACAATTAGTAAGCTAAAGCTAGCTGAAAATAAAGGGAAAACGATGGAGGAGTTGAGTGCCGACGAGGTAAGATAACGACGTAGTGTTGCTAAATCTACTATTAGTTTTATCCAATATGTGTCGACAAATGTTACTGCGTTTGGTCGTGATTATCTGTGGAAGTCTATGACGTTAACGTTACATTTTTCAAAGGCTAACGTAGCTAGCTAGTCAGTGACACTACAGTAACGCGTTAAGCATAAAGCCGGAGATCTAACTACAGTAGTTAGCTAACAACACATATAATCTTATGACGCTGGTCTTTTCGATAATAAAGGTTCGGATACCTTGACGTCCATTAATGGGTATGTTTTGATACGTTAGTACTGGCTATTTAGCCCACAATCTATCGAACTAGCTAGCTAGCCTACTAACTAAAGGTAGGTAGGTAGCTACGTTAGCTAGCTAGCTAGGCGACTCAGCATAACACAGTAGGCCACCATGGCATTGTGCAACCAATCAGGGCACGGGTTCCAAAAAGCATCTTAATGTTAAATTCATCGTTTTAACCTTAGTATGAGCATCGTTAAATCGGTTGTTTCCCAAAACTATCGTTATTAACTTTGCACTTGAAAACGCTCGTAATCTAACGCCTGCCTCAGACCACTCGTAGAACAGCCAAGTGTGTCGTTAGATGCTTTTTTTGCCCTCCCGCGTCGCTTTATACACAGACGATCTTGTAGCTGTCATTTTATTATTCCCAGAGATCGTCGTCGAACGCAGTGGTGGCTAAATTTGTTTGACCGTTGTTTCAACTGCTAGCTAGCTAGTTACACAATGACGATTCAGTCTACCTACCGGTATAACAGACCAACATGAGACACTGATTTTGGCATTAAAGCCCTTTGTCTACTTCCCCAGAGTCAGATGAACTCATGTATACCATATTTATGTTTCTGCGTGCAGTATGAAGGTAGTTTCGTGAGCCAATTGCTAACTAGCGTTAGCGCAATGACTGGAAGTCTATGGTAACTGCTAGCATGCTAATAGATACCATATACTTCCAGTCATTAAGCTAACTAGCAAGCTTTCTTCTGTTCATTACAGATCCGCAGAAGGAGACTGGCCAGACTTGCAGGAGGGCAAACATCCCAGCCCAGCACCCCCCTCAGCACACCCCTGACGTCCCCACAGAGAGAGACCCCCCCTTGGCCCCTTCCTGGGACCTCAGGGGCCACACCCCAGCCCCTACCACCAGCCGCCTCACATTCACTTGGGCTCAATGTCCAGAGTGTCACCCCCGCCACCTCTCCTATTGGCGCCTCTGGTATGAGCACATCTTAGACAGCACGTTTAAAGATTACAATTGACCAAAACATTCAGCAAAGCCTCAATCTTTTGTTTGCATTTCTATAGTGTGTTCTGTAGCTAGCTTTCACAAAATCTCCTACATTGGGAGCTAAACAAGTTTTGTCAGATTGCTAGCTGACTGTTGCCTGCTATAAAGGCATTGATGTAGGCTAAATAGCTACATAGTGAATGAAATGGACTCACTTCAATAAATAGCACTCAAAAGGCTCACATCAATAACATTTCTTTAACTGCCCTGCATGGATGCATTTCAGCCTCACCATTCATGCTGAGAATGACAACAACAAAAACACAGGTGGCCATAATTAGGCTAATAGGTCAAATTCACAGACATTACTGGCTAGTTAGAAGCACCACTAGGCTAAAATACTCCGCCTCTTATCCGTGTTGTATTGAGTGAACATGCTTATGTACAAATGTGTACTTTCCACTCAGTCAGGTTTAAAAGAGCCAAAGTTAAGAAACTTTGGTAGGCAATCTGAATTTAAGTAGTTCCAGGACTCTTGCTTTGAGCAGATGCAAAGTAGGCCTAGTTGTAAGTTGGAGTAGGCTTGTTTGTTATTAAGTTGACCTTGAGTAGTTTGGAAAACCTGGTAGCCTAGAGCTAATAGCGACCAGCTGTGGAATCCCCATGAACAAACTTGGTCTCAAAGCAAAACAAAAAGTCTCCCGGACCTGCCATCGTGCCCTTTACCAGGAAAGTGCACAGTCACTGTGCCGTTCATGCACGAGCTTTGGCCTGAGTTCAGCTAAGGGCACATAGATGAGAGTGATAACATTCTCAGCCAGCGGTTCGTAGAGGTCAGCGTGAAAAGCAGTGTGGCATTCTATAGGCTATTCCCAGATTGTGGATTTATTCTTGAACATTTCATTCCTGCTGCCTCCGTTTGCAGTTAGATGGCCTATCCTATGATTTGGCTCTGAAGTCCATGGGAGATATAAACTCTGTCCGCATGTGGCATCGGTGTGAGAAATGCTGCTTTCACAAACACATACAGTACTCTAGAACCTACACTATTGAGTCATAGATATGGATCAATACTGTCTCTCCCCTATTGTTTGTAATGGTTAGACTACTCCGGCAAAGAAAGCTACCTTAATGACTGACTGACTGATTGCTTTACAATGGGATTTACAATATGTGTAATGATGTTGTTCTCAACTTCAAGTGTTTCACTTTCATTTGTATGTTTTTTTAAAAACATGATAGACCCAAATCCTTTGTTTAAGTAGCCAAAATGTGAAATAATTTGATATAGGCTATCGATATCAATAAACATAAACCAATTTCCATTAATTGTTAAACTGATTTCCACAAATTTGGTATTCTACCTTCAAACACAAGGGACATATCTTATCTCAACATGACCTTAGCTAGCAAATATAAATGCAATAGGGCTTAACATTTACATTTACGTCATTTAGCAGACGCTCTTATCCAGAGCGACTTACAGGAGCAATTAGGGTTAAGTGCCTTGCTTAAGGGCACATCAACAGATTTTTCACCTAGTCGGCTCGGGGATTAGAACCAGCGACCTTTCGGTTACTGGCACAACGCTCTTACCCACTAAGTTACCTGCCGCCCCTACCTTTGTGGAAAATGCTGTTAGTTTACAGATGTTCAGCCCAATTGAACACAACTAAGGTCGTGTTCAGGAGGGTGCAACGTACAGCACTGGCATCAGGCTTTAACAATAACACCATGTGTCCATGAACTGCTTTGATATATTTTCCGGTCAGGCAGAATACATTCATTTTCAATGGAGGCAGTCCGCACCATTGCGGTCCAGCTGCCACAATTTTCAACTTGTCACAGGGGCATGTCTGTTCTACACAATGTATTTCTATCCATCTAAATTATGCCCTGCTGAACAAGGCCCAGGTTTTCCACATTATGTGAGTGTTTCTGTAGTCCGGTGGTAATTCCTGCTCTTACTTTAGCCATTGGATATGGGCCTTAATCAGCTTTGTCCTTAGCTGTCGAGTAGACAGGCTTTCCGATTCACACACTCACACAGCTGTGTGTTCAAGTTCACCTCTGGTGGCCTAACTTGGCTAGCTGACAAAAAAATGCTTGTCGCCAATGGACATACTGTACATACGCAGAGAAAAGCCATGGGGGTCTAGTCAAATATACTGTATTCCTCTCACACTGAGCTCTTTGGTTGTGTCCCAAATGGCACCCTACTTCCTATGTAGTGTACTACTTTTGACCAGGGCCAAGGGTAGTACTATATAGGGAATATGGTGCAATTTGGGAAAGTATTTTTGTCTCTTTCTGTGTCCCTTGCTTATTTGTTTTCTTCCTTTCCTACCTGTCCCAGGGGTTGCGTACTGTAGTCAGAGCAGTGAGGGCGTGAGCTCCCTCTCCAGCTCTCCCTCCAACAGCCTGGAGACCCAGTCCCAGAGTCTTTCCCGATCCCAGAGCATGGACATCGACACAGCCTCCTGTGAAAAGAGGTGAGCAACTTGGACCGGTCGATTCAAAACCGACCCTTAGCCCAGTTCTGAGAGGTTTGGCTAGGAGGTGTAAGCGATATGGAGACTCAGAAGGTAAGTTGAATCTATTGCCATGATGTTTATCTACCCCAATCCTCTCAGATCTATAGGACAGGCGTGCCCAGAGTTTAGGGGTAAGAGGTCAAATTAGATGACCACACTGGAAATGCAGTGGTGAGAGAGTTTGTGAACACTTTAGGATTTTCTTTATTTCTGCATACATTTGGCCTAAAATGTGATCAGATCTTCATCTAAGTCCTAATAATAGATAAAGTGAACCAGATTAAACAAATAACACAACCTTTTCATTTCGTTATTGAGCAAATTGATGTCAGAAAAAGTATGTGAACCTCTAGATTAATCATCTCAATTAAGTGTATTAAAGTAGTCAAAAGTTTAGTATTTAGTCCTACCACTCAATGACTGCATCAAGTTTGTGACTCTACAAACTCTACAAAATGTAAATTTTGCCTCTGTAACCTCACTCATCATTATTCATGATCTATTTAAGCAATAAGGCACCTCAGGGGTTTGTGATATATGGCCAATATACCACGGCTAAGGGCTGTGTCCAGGCACTCCGCGTTGCGTCGTCTCTAAGAACAGCTCTAGCCGTGTAATATTGGCCATATACCACACCCCCTCTGGCATTATTGCTTAATTATCCATAATCATGGAAGCATCCACATGAATGTAGAAGTGTTCAGAAACATCTTCTATTCTTAATAACAATAAAAGTGACTCCAAACTGCAAATGCATCCAATGAGTTTGTAGAGTCACAAGCTCGATGTATTCATTTCGTGCTAGGAATATGGGACCAAATAAACTTTTGACTACTTTAATACACTTAATTGAGCTGATTAATCAAGTTGTTCACATACTTTTTCCAACAAATACATTACATTTAAGATATATTTGCTCAAAAAAGAAATGAAAAAGTACAATTAGTTTTTATTTGTTTAATCAGGTTCACTTTATGTATTGTTAGGATTTAGATGACGATCTGATCACATTTTAGGTCAACCTTATGTAGGAATGCAGAAAATCCTAAAGGGTTAAAAGTTTCTCTCACCACTAAGTCTTCTGACTATTTTGTGTGTTCCTCAATTATTTTATTTACATTTACATTTTCGTCATTTAGCAGACCCTCTTATCCAGAGCGACATATGTAATCATTTTATTTATGTTGTCTTTTGAGGTGTTTTTAAAATGGTCAAATAAACTAAACAAAGTGGATAGGGGGAAGAGGCTAGGATGACAATCATCACATTTCAGCCCTGTTCAGTTGTTATGGCCCCGGGGTCAGTCTGATCTCGTGCTAAATGTATGCCTTCACCTCCTATCAACTCCTTACCCAAAGCTTTAATGGATGTTACATGCATCCCTTCATTCCTACTCTAGTTAGAAAGTTTAAAGCTAGATACAATGTGTGCAATGGGTTGTACAAAGATATATGTGTGTTAAAGCTGAGATCCGCAATAGGCGAAACGGTGCCACTGGCCACCCCAGGCACATTTGTTTTTGTCTTGAGGAAATGAGCATCCAGCATTGTGTAAAAAAGAATCTGCTGTTCTATCGCATGTGCAATGATGTGCAATGCTGTCCGAGGGGAAAAAAACTATTTTGTTGTTGTAATATCGCAAATAAACGTCACAGTTTCAACGCTAAGGGTTGCAGCTTTAAGGTAAGAGGAATAACACAAAACATGAAATCACTTAAATGCAAAACAGAGGTTTAAGGATTTTAGCTGTTCTGAATTGACCTTGAATGCTCATTGCACATCTTAAGGACAAAACCGTGCCGACAAACAGTTAAAAGCAGTGGATGGCCACATAAGCAGCGTAAGTGTAAGCGATCAACTGCTGGGTATCAACGAATGGTGGCGATTCAACATGTAGAATCGTCCAGAAATGAACAGAAAATAACGTCCGGTGCTCTGGTCATAGGCAGTAGGACGGCCACCCTCTGATTTTAACTGTTCATCGCCACAGTGCGTTTTGTCCTTTTGAGTTAATAGAGTAGTTGATAGGCTGTTTGTGGGATCTGGTGGAGGGGATAAATTGGTTGACCCAATGTTGCTCCTCTCTCCCTCTCTGTCTCTGTGCGTGTGGCCCAGCAGCATGTCCCAGGTGGATGTGGACTCAGGGATAGAGAACATGGAGGTGGAGGACAGTGACCGCAGGGAGAAGAGGGACCTGGCAGAAAAGGTAGGCAGGGCTCCCATTCCACCCCTTACTTTTACTGTGTGCACTTGCTGTACTTTAATCAGTCACTCTTTGGCTGTGTCTGTAAAGGCACCATCTATTCCCATGCCTGAAGACTCAAACTGAATTATTCCGCTGCTCTATCGTTCTCTACATACTTCAGTCTGAATCTGCCATCATTGAAAGTAATTTGTGATGAAAAGAAAGTCATCTGATTGGATTGTGTCTAACCAATCAGAGTATCAAAGCCAATTCTGTACTTTGAATATGCCGCTTCATCCACGTGTGTTATGGCTCTGGCCCAACCCATCGGTTACTGGGTCAAATCAGACGGTCTGAATGTGTTCGCATTCTAGAGGGGTCGGGGATGGAGTCAAATCCAGACTCATTGCAGAGAAGAAATGTTTGTGGGCGTGGAGTGGCATTTGGCTGGAGCGATGAGTCTGGGTAGCCAGGCAATCTATTCCCTATATAGCGTGCTACTTTTGACCAGAGTTTTGAAGTAGTGCACTATACAGTATAGGGGATGGGGGGCTATTTCAGACACAACCTCTGTCATGAAAAGGGTCTGCCAAATGAATGGAAGTCAATGGAACTCTTTTTCTGTTGGAGACTTTGTACATCAATAGTTTTCACCAAATGAGCAGTGGATTCATGTACTTCAGTGGTTTCATGGTGTACGTGAAAATAAATGACCTTTTGAAACTCCTGTCATTGTAGAAAAGGAAATAAATTGCTCACTCTCAAAGAAAAATATATCTTCATTTCGGTCATAATAAGTAGGTCATTTTGGATGGTCAGAGAGCCATTTTCAACTTTGATAATATAAAGACCTTGCTCCTGGTTGATAAAACAACTTTGGTTTTGAGTCGCCTACTTTTAGTTCTATTAAAAAGTCTCGCCATGATCTAATCCCTAAATTCAAAATAGTTAAAGGCCTGCTAATTCAGATGTTGCCTTGCAATGAATGAGTGGAAGGTCCTTCATGGATGATGCAGAATAGATCTCTTTACGATTGCACAATAGCGACGAGTAAAACATCAGCAGTTTTTTTGGAATAAAATAACCTATAGCTGATGACTCTGGCATTGAAGATTCTTGATATCTGTATGCCCTGGTTTGCCTCAGTGATCAAGTTGTAGAATCCTTCACCACCCATCTCCACATGGCTGTAGAACTGAAATGCTCTGAACTGATACATTTGTCTATGCCAATGGTCTTCGAAAGCCCTCTGAGAACACCCGTCTGCTTACGTGGTACAACCCGTGTTTTCTCTCTAACCCTCACCCGAAGACTTTGGTGTTATGGATTCTACCATCTAGCTAAAGGAGTCTTTTGAAAGGGGTGTTGTGGCTTGGCTAATTGTTACCAATAAAGGGCAGCTAGCAGCAGCAGTTATTATTAGCTCTTAGTTATTGTATAGCCATTGCAACAGAAAATCTATCAATTTCCATTAGAAAATGAATAGTAAAAAAAGTACCTAGTATGTGTATCCTACTGTTTTCTCTAGCTCATCTAAAATCAGAGGTGTAATTTGCAGACAGTGGTAAGGAGGCAATTCCAGCGTACATTTTTTTCTCAACATTTGAGTCGAGGCTACTCTTTTGGGGTGGACATTGAATCCTGAACTCTCTGCTTTTACCCAAGGAAATTTAAATTTAATTATTTTGCCGCCTATCGGTACACAACATGGCCACCTGGTAACCAGTCTCTTGAACGGCAATGACCGCTCTAGCTAGTAATTCGAACTATTGGTGTCTCTGTCCCAGGAATCCGCTGAAAACTCTGTCTCTGAAGAGCAGGCTCTGCAGCTCATCTGTAAGATCCTGCGCGTCTCCTGGATGGAGCAGGACAGAGACGTCATCTTTCTCCCCTCGCTTGCCGCCGAGTTCCACCAGAGCAGCCCCAAAGATGGTATGGCAAAGATGCATGATATTTGTAGCCATCTTCTTTTTGAATTGTATAGCTTTTTGCAAAAGAGTCATAGATGAGTGGTTTAGGATATCATCATCTGAATGCAATAGCAATGTAAAAAAATTGTTTTATCCTCCAACCCAATGTTTCTGTTGAAATTTGAACAAGATATTTGTATTAAATGAAATACAAATTAGTTTGTAGTCAGTTTTTATCTGTCATGTATACCATTTTAGAATTAGTCACAAATTAAGTGTATGTTTATAGGATTTCTCTTTCTCCTCCCAGTCTTCTCTGACTTCAAAGACCTGATTGGCCAGATCCTGATGGAGGTGCTCCTGATGTCCACCCAGTCGCACGTCCACAACCCCTTCGCCAGCCTGACCGCCACGTCCCAGCCAATCGCTGCTGCCAAATCTCTTGACCACCACCTGACACTGGTCCAGCCCTCCAGCCAGGGCGGCAGTCCCATGGCCCCCTGTGCAGGCTCGTTTGGGGCCAGCTCTCTGTCAAGGCAAGTACCCCTCAGTGGCCCCACGACTAGCCCCCAGTCCTGGGTACATATAGTAGGGTTGTGTCCCAAATGGCACTCTCTTCAATATATAGTGCACTGCTTTTGACTAGGTCCCATAGGGCTCTGGTCAAAAGTAGTGCACTATATAGGGAATAGGCTGCTATTTGGAGCTCAGCCAAAAACTCCCATTAGCATAGATGGGTGTTTAAATTCAACTAGTGCCGTTTCATTCATTGTCTGATTAGGAATTGTACTGGACGTCCTATTTGAATCCATCCAAGAGAGTGTCCAATGGAATCCCTACATTGAAATTGACAGAAATGGAATTGTTCCCTTTTGTGTGATTTAGGCCTAGTCAATGGGAAGTGTTGTCTTTTTTAAACTGGTACGGTCATGGTATCGTTCTGTCTTTTTTATTCAGTTTTATATACCTAATTATTTGACAGAGTTGATAAGATTGTAAAAGAGGAAGATGTAACTCATTTGTCAACCCATTTGTTTTGCGATGTTGTTCACAGCCTGTATGGGTGTAGTCCGCACTCACTGGCTTTGAATGCAGCCAGGATGACCTCTCCACCTCTCCCCACCCCCACCACCCCATCCCTGCATCCAATGGTAGCCCCAAGTCCCCCTACCATGGCCAACCCCCCTAGGCTCTCTCTCAACCCCCCCTCCGCCCCCCTGCCCATCTCCCAGCGCTACCGGCCCTACTCTGTCACCTCTCCCTGGGGGGTCTCCACCCCCCCTAGCCCCAGCCCCAGACTGGCTAGCCTCCCTGGGTTTTCCCGCGGCCCTGTCACTGAAGGTCTCCCAGTACCGCCCATCATTTTGGCCCAGGCCCCAGCCCCACCACTACCTACTAGCCCCCAGTCGGTTCCTCTCCCCTCCCCTAGTCCTCGCCCCCCCACCTCCATGCCCCTCCCTCTGGTGCCCCCCTCGCCCAGATCAGCCGCCCGACGAGCTGCCCTCGCCACCGGGATCCCATCTAGGTACCTCCTCAACCACGTGTGACAATGAGTGACTCGCAACAAGCTACTTTACTAAAACATTAACCCTCCCCCAGCCTTAGCTCCATGGCAAAATATGTAGAAACGCAGGAAATTAACTTTACAACTGCAACATTTTCTCTCCGCTGCATGGCAAAATGAGTAGAATTGCAGGAAATTAGCTTTAAAACTGCAAAAATGTTGCTCAGCTCCATTGAAAAATGTGTAGAATTGCAAGAAATTCCCCTATATCGCTAAGATGGGGTCCTAAAAAAATGTAGCTGTGCTGATGGGCTGACCACGCTCATTGACATGCCCTGCGTCACGCCCACCACCTAAGCCCCTTTTTATCCAGAAAAACCCCTGCACATTTGGCCTACATGATGGGCTACTTATGTAGGCCTATTTCTTGAATTATTATGGACATACTGTATATGGGTGGTTTCCCAGACACTGATTAAGCCTACTGTAGTCATGGACTAAAAATGATTTTCTATGGTTCTCCATTGAGCTGCATTTAGTCCAGGACTAGGCTTAATCTGTGTCTGGGAAACCATCCCGGAGTTTTGCACATAATTCCTAACCACAAACCAACTCTAATGCTCTGATGATTTACACAATTTACAATCATCCTCATTTAAAATAAATAAATAATAATAATTAAAAAAAAAAATATATATATATATATATATATATATACTGAAGAAATGACACTTTGCTACAATGTAAAGTAGTGAGTGTACAGCTTGTATAACAGTGTACATTTGCTGTCCCCTCAAAATAACACAACACACAGCCATTAATGTCTAAACCGCTGGCAACAAAAGTGAGTACACCCCTAAGTGAAAATGTCCAAATTGGGCCCAATTAGCCATTTTCCCTCCCCGGTGTCATGTGACTCGTTAGTGTTACAAGGTCTCTGGTGTGAATGGGGAGCAGGTGTGTTAAATTTGGTGTCATCGCTCTCACACTCTCTCATACTGCTCACTGGAAGTTCAACATGGCACCTCATGGCAAAGAACTCTCTGAGGATCTGAAAAAAAGAATTGTTGCTTTACATAAAGATGGCCTGGGCTATAAGAAGATTGCCAAGACCCTGAAACTGAGCTGCAATACGGTGGCCAAGACCATACAGCGGTTTAACAGGACAGGTTCCACTCAGAACAGGACTCGCCATGGTCGACCAAAGAAGTTGAGTGCACGTGCTCAGCGTCATATCCAGAGGTTGTCTTTGGGAAATAGACGTATGAGTGCTGCCAGCATTGCTGCAGAGGTTGAAGGGGTGGGAGGTCAGCCTGTCAGTGCTCAGACCATATGCCGCACACAGCATCAAATTGGTCTGCATGGCTGTCGTCCCAGAAGGAAGCCTCTTCTAAAGATGATGCACAAGAAAGCCCGCAAACAGTTTGCTGAAGACAAGCAAACTAAGGACATGGATTACTGGAACCATGTCCTGTGGTCTGATGAGACCAAGATAAACGTATTTGGTTCAGATGGTGTCAAGCGTGTGTGGCAGCAACCAGGTGAGGAGTACAAAGACAAGTGTGTCTTGCCTACAGTCAAGCATGGTGGTGGGAGTGTCATGGTCTGGGGCTGCATGAGTGCTGCCGGCACTGGGGAGCTACAGTTCATTGAGGAATGCCAACATGTACTGTGACATACTGAAGCAGAGCAAGATCCCCTCCCTTTGGAGACTGGGCCGCAGGGCAGTATTCCAACATGATAACGACCCCAAACACACCTCCAAGACGACCACTGCCTTGCTAAAGCTGAGGGTAAAGGTGATGGACTGGCCAAGCATGTCTCCAGACCTAAACCCTATTGAGCATCTGTGGGGCATCCTCAAACGGAACGTGGAGGAGTGCAAGGTCTCTAACATCCACCAGCTCCGTGATGTCGTCATGGAGGAGTGGAAGAGGACTCCAGTGGCAACCTGTGAAGCTCTGGTGAACTCCATGCCCAAGAGGGTTAAGGCAATGCTGGAAAATGATGGTGGCCACACAAAATATTGACACTTTGGGCCCAATTTGGACATTTTCACTTAGGGGTGTACTCACTTTTGTTGCCAGCGGTTTAGACATTAATGGCTGTGTGTTGTGTTAATTTGAGGGGACAGCAAATTTACACTGTTATACAAGCTGTACACTCACTACTTTACATTGTAGCAAAGTGTCATTTCTTCAGTGTTGTCACATGAAAAGGTATACTGAAATATTTACAAAAATGTGAGGGGTGTACTCACTTTTGTGAGATACTGTGTGTGTGTATATATATGCGTGTGTGTGTGTATGTAATGCTCAATGTTTGATCAGTTCAGACAATGGCCCAGTTCTGACACAACAAAGAAAAGCCTTGACTAGGAGCTGGAACAATTTCATTGAGAAATGTGGAGAAAGAGCCTTCACTTTTGCTTGCCAATGCATTGCTTATCTTGCATGTTTTTTTGTGAATCACATAGCTGTGGTACTCTTTGACTAGGGTGTCTGTAGGAGCCTATGGGTCCTCGTTGTATCTTCAGATAAAATGTATTAATGGACATGGGACAAGGTCAGCACTAGGAGAGTAGTCTGGTGTTTTATTCCACAGTGAATCACAACCAGGGTTCAGCTAAAGTCAGAGGGAAGGCGAGCTAGTCATATCACTTCCTTCCTACATCCTTTCCTCAGTGTTACCATCTTCCTTCCCTACCCCATCCTCTCCTATCTATGACCCGTGTGTCTTCCCATCCTCACACCCCATCCTCCTCCTCCTTTATCCCTCTTCCTCTTTTCCTCCCTCTCTACGCCAGCCCCCTCTCCCTACTGTTCTTCGCCCTCTCTGACATGTCTCAGGACAGCAGCGAAGAAGAGCGTGATGATGAGCAGGAGGATTTTACGCAGGTTCAGTTTGGGTCCAGGTATACACCACTGCACGGCGTGTGTTCAGTAGACTCACCGGCATGCTTCAGCAGTGTGTCGAGCATAGCCACTAACAGCAGAGACTGCGTTCCAAATTGCCCCCTATTCCTTACATAGTGCACTAATTTTGACCATCAAAAGTAGTGTACTATATATGGAATAGGGTGCCATTTGGGACGCAGATAGTTTCACCATTGCGGCCCCTGCTGCTGCAGGAACAGGCTGAGAAACATCGAGCCTGTAGACCAGGGGTGTCAAACTCAATTATTATTATTTTACTCAAACCACCCGCGGGCCGTATGTTTGACGCCCTTCTGTAGACTGCCAGCTTTACGACCTCAACTGTTGTAGTTGACGCTCAACCTCAGAAGTAGTCAATTTCAGTACAGATCGAGGCAGTGTGCTTATCTTTGTGGTACTGGTAAGATGGTCTGAATTGCAGCTTGCAAAAATATAGAGAATTCATTATGACTATGCTAGACACCCAAACGAGGGCACTACGTTCATCCACCTCTGGCCTGCTAGCCCCCCTACCTCTACAGAAGCACAGTTCCCGCTCAGCCCAGTCAAAGCTATTCGCTGCTCTGGCACCCCAATGGTGGAACAAGCTCCCCCACGATGCCAGGACAGCGGAGTCACTGACCACCTTCCGGAGACACTTGAAACCCTACCTCTTTAAGGAATACCTGGAATAGTATAAAAGTAATCCTTCTACCCTCCCATTAAAAAATAAATAAAAAATAAATAAAATAAGTGGTTGTCCCACTGGCTATCATAAGTTGAATGCACCAATTTGTAAGCAAATAACCCTTGGAAGTTTATGTTGAAGCCACTGTTTCACTTTTCTGCAAACCATGTTCAGGTAAAATCCAAAGACGACAACCAGTTTGATTGTGTCTTCAGATGGCGTCTGTTGCTGCAAATGCTGCTTGCTGCAGCCCGGATAAACGATCTGCTAGTTTGAAAGTGCAATTTCTCAACCAGTCTCGCAAGACATTCGGTTCCCCCGTTCTGTGCACTGAAGTCTCCACAAAATCTTTGTCGGGCAGAAGACTTATCCACAACATTCCTGCGGACTGAGGCTTGTGTTGTGGTGTGAAGCTGCTCACAGGTTACCCACCAGTTTGTCTTCGAAAACAGACCACTAACAATGCATTAGCTTAGACCCCAGTGAACCCTTTGGTGGGGTCAGTGGTGATCTCTGGGGAATCCGTTACCTAGGTTGTGTTCATTAGGCATGAAATTGAAAAAATGTGACAAACTAACAGTGTGGGAGTGAGAGACTAGCTGGAGTTGTCCAATAAGAAACAAACAATTTTGTTTTCCTTGGCAAGATGTTGCAAAACGTTTTTTTTGTTGTCTGCCCTAATGAACATGACCCCGCTTCAAACTGCTATTGAGTGAGATTATTGAAAGAATTTTGTAAAATCTGAGGGTGTTTAGTTAGTTAGATTTCAGACTGAAGAATTGTGGAGTCAAAATGCTGAAACGCTGCCTTGCGATACTCTCGCTAACGTTTGACATCGCTTATTTACCACATTTGGCCACAGGGCTTACTTCTTACGGTGCCCTGGTTGTCTCTCCTGTCGTCCTGTTACATTTTGACTTTCTCTCCCATTCTCTCTGTGTAGTCTGGGTGTGTCCGGAGGGGGAATGGCCTGGGAATCCTGCAGTGACCGGTTCACCATCGAAGCGTGCAAGGAGACGGAAATGCTCAACTACCTCATCGAGCGCTTTGACAGTGTGGGTATGGAGGAAAGGAAGGCGCCCAAGGTAAACTAGAAACGCCCCTAAGAAACATTGCTGCCCACCGGAGGTTTGATCCGTATCTACTCATTTGGAATCTTTGTCCTTCACAAGGGCACAAAACTAATTAAGAAACACCATTGTAACACAGTGTCTCCAAACAATACTTACCTTTCAGCTATGCTTAGTGTTTTCTGGTTGTAACAGAAATGCCCTGGGAGGAGGCAAAGTTAAGTTTGCCCCTCGCAACACTTATTTTTTTGTGATCATTTTTTGTTATTTATAATAGACATAGACATAAACTTGAACAAAACACATGGACATAACCCGTCCTAACACTCATCTGGTAAAACCTTATTGAATTCAAAAAGCCCGACCACAATACCGCTCACAATAGTTTAGTTTCCATCCAATTGGTGACAGATAAATTAAACAGACATGAAAAGAACCCACCATGTCAAATGAACAAATGTATCTCACCATTTATAAAATTGTACCAAAACTTTCTATTTCCATCACAGCTGTCATAATTGTTTTAATACAATATGGCTTTACACGCACAAACTGTGGATGGGAACGTGGTTAATGAGAGAAAGCTCCACTCCTCTGTGAACAAATTATGATTTGGCCGCAGAATTTGGAGACTGGGCCACCTTGACATGAGCAGCCCTGGTGGTGTCACAAATTAGGGTTGCAAAGCTACTGGTAATTTACCAAAGTTACCAGAATCTTCACAAATTTAGGTAATTAACAAAATCTGTTGCTATCTATCGTAACTTTTGTAATTTATACTTGAAAAACTTCAACAACAAAAAAAGATATATATATTCATATGTAGTATTCATTTTATATCTGTCCATATTGTCCATGACTTTCCAATAGACCATATGGCTCAAGAGAAAAAGCCTAATTCATGGAAAAAAGCACCTGATCAACAATGGCATTATTTTTTATTACCTCTGCAACCTGTCCAAATATTGACTTTTTTCACAACTGCCACCAGCTTGACGCCAAAACATTGACAACAAATATATATTGACATAGTAAAATAAATAAGTTTAAAAAAAGAAATATTTCATGCTAAAACACTCATATTAAACACCAATGGTATTCACTAAGTTGATGGTTTATATTTATGATCTTATCATCTTATTTAATTATTTCATGTATTTTAAATGTGATAAGGCCACACAGAGGGCTGGAGATAATTGGACACCTGTGATAATCTGAAGTACCCAAAAGGGCCACTAGAGGTCTTGTGATAGATTACATAAAATCCTTGAACGATACCAAAATTCTGGTAGTTTACTGGTAAACTTAGAACATTTCCAGTAATATACCCTCCCTTTGCAGCCCTAGTCACCACACTTAACTTGTTATTCTCCCTCTGTCTTCTCAGATTTGCAGCCACCCCAGTGTCAGCCAGCTCCTCAGCAACATACGCTCGCAGTGTATTTCCCACGCCGTTCTTGTCCTTCAGGGCGCCCTCACGCAGCCCAGGTCAGCCTGACACCTTCCTGTCACCTTCTGTGACCTCTCACAATACTGTTGTCATAATACAGTATTATTCTATGTACATCAGTGTTTCCCCTACCATTGGATAATGTGTCTAGATCCCTCAAACTCAACTCTGGACCTTGAAGCCAGTTCCACTACTTTATTTCATTGTTCCCCTCTAATCAGGGACTGATTTTAGACCTGAGACACCAGGTGTGCAATTAATTATCAGGTAGAACAGAAAACCAGCAGGCACCAGACCTCGTAGGGTCAGAGTTCAGTACCCCTGGTCTAGATGTTTAGCTCTGTTGCCCCATGCCTACATTTTTGTATTTATTGATATTTCAATTCATAACAATTAAGTGCAATTAGATTTTAATTACCCAAATATCCACCCATGGACACATGAAAGAAAGCAGCAATGAACTTGACAATTGTGATGTCAGAAAGCCTGGATGTTGCTTTCACCGTGGTTTAAACTAGGGGAAAGACTGGTGTACATGTTTTGTTCTTTTGTCTGCTTTCTCGGCACCCCTAGCAGGAGCTACTAATCTAGCACCATAGCAACCCTATCACCATAGCAACTCATCTATTTCTCCTCAAGTTCACATGTCCACATTATTTTGCCATATCATTCACACCTTTGCTACCGACACTCTAGCGTCTGGTACACCATTAGTGTGTTCGGAAAGTATTCAGACCTCTTTTCCACATTTTGTTACGTTACAGCCTTATTCTAAAATAATATTTTATTTTCATCAATCTACACACAATACCCTATAATGACAGTGAAAACAGGTTGTAAGACATTTTTGCAAAAAAAAATAATAATTATGTTTTATATATATATTATTTTTTAAAACAAAGTATTTAAATAAGTATTCAGACCCTTTGCTATGAGTCTCGAAATTGAGCTCCGGTGTATCCTGTTTCCATTGATCATCCTTGAAGTGTTTCTACAACTTCATTGGAGTCCACCTGTTGTAAATTCAATTGATTGGACATGATTTGGAAAGGCACACACCTGTCTATATAAGGTCCCACAGTTGACAGTGCATGTCAGAGCAAAAACCAAGCCATGAGGTCGAAGGAATTGTCCGTAGAGCTCCGAGACAGGATTGTGTCGAGGCACAGATCTAGGGAAGGGTACCAAAACATTTCTGCAGCATTGAAGGTCCCCACGAACACAGTGGCCTCCATCATTCTTAAATGGAAGAAGTTTGGAATCACCAAGACTCTTCCTAGAGCTGGCCGTCCGGCCAAACTGAGCAATCGGAGGAGAAGGGCCTTGGTCAGGGAGGTGACTAAGAACCCGATGGTCACTCTGACAGAGCTCCAGAGTTCGTCTGTGGAGATGGGAGAACCTTCCAGAAGGACAACCATCTCTAAAGCACTCCACTAAATAGGCCTTTATGGTAGTGGCCAGACGGAAGGCACTCCTCAGTAAAAGGCACATGACAGCCCGCTTGGAGTTTGCCAAAAGGCACCTAAAGGACTCTGACCATGAGAAACAAGATTCTCTGGTCTGATGAAACCAAGACTGAACTATTTGGCCTGAATGCCAAGCATCATGCCTGGAGGAAACCTGGCACCATCCCTACGGTGAAGCATGGTGATGGTAGCATCATGCTGTGGGGATGTTTTTCAGTGGCAGGGACTGGGAGACTAGTCAGGATCAAGGGAAAGATTAACGGAGCAAAGTACAGAGATCCTTTATGAAAACTTGCTCCAGAGCACTCAGGACCTCAGACTGGGGCGAAGGTTCACCTTCCAACAGGACAGCGACCCTAAGCACACAGCCAAGACAACGCAGGAGTGGCTTCGGGACAAGTCTCTGAATGTCCTTGAGTGGCCCAGCCAGAGCCTGGACTTGAACCCGATCAAATATCTCTGGAAAGATCTGAAAATAGCTGTGCAGTGATGCTCCCCAACCAACCTGACAGAGCTTGAGAGGCTCTGCAGAGAAGAATGGGAGAAACTCCCCAAATACAGGCGTGTCAAGCTTGTAGCATGATACCCAAGAAGACTCGATGCTGTAATCGCTGCCAATGGTGTTTCAATAAAGTACAGAGTAAAGGGTCTGAATACTTATGTAAATGTAATATTTCTGTTTTTTTATTCTAAAAACCGGTTTTTCCTTTGTCATTATGGGGTATTGTGTGTAGATTGAGGGGGGGGGAGAAACAATGTAATCAATTTTCGAATAACGCTTGTAACGTAACAAAGTGGAAAAAGTCAAGGTCTGAATACTTTCCGAATGCACTGTATATGCACTCTTCACGTTTCCTCTCACCGTTCTCTGTACCTGTTAGTATGCATCCTCTGCCACTACAGAATGCAAGAATATTGTCAAAATAAAAGTGTGTTCCCTCAAAATACACTCCTATTTGCTTTCAAAATAGCATTGGCCAGCTGACTCGTTTCAGGTATGTTGTGTGTCTGAGTAAAGCCAAATGTATACACTACACAATACGCAACGCAAGAATGGCAATTGGCTATGCAAAATGCGATCTTGCGTAGTTGCATAGAAAGTACACAAGTTTTCAGCTCCACAGTTTAGTTATTCGACACAAGTATGCAGGATCTCCATTTTGAGTAGATAATTGCATTCTTGTGTTGCGTGCGTACGTATGTAACATATAAATTAGGCTTTAGTAAGCATGCCTGAACTGCCACTTGTTAAATGGTAGAATACAATGCTACAATGCACATTTTCTTATTCAAAGTACACTCCTAATTTGCTTTCAAAATAGAATAGCCAGGTGACACAGTCCAGGTATATTGTGTGTGTTGTGAGTAAAAGCCATCCTCCTCCCCGCTCCTCCACTCAGGAGCCCCTTGCAGCAGTCCCTGCTGGTACCCTATATGCTGTGCCGTAACCTACCGTACGGCTTTATCCAGGAGCTGGCCCGCATTACCTACCAGGAGGAGGTGGTCTTCAGACAGGTGGGGTAGACCCAGACAGATAGACAGACTGACTGACTGACAGATGTAACGAAATACAGACAGACACACACCCATGCTGTTGTTAGTTTGATAATTAAATGGTACATTCAAAAACATTTGGTTGAGAATTACCTCCATGTGAAATGGGAACAAATGTTATATTGTATTAAGTTGTCCTTTACATTTAATTGTCGATTTTCAGCTGTATCGACTGACACCATCCTCAAAATTACTCACCTGTTGTCTGTGTATTTCAGATCTTTGTTCCGATCCTTCAAGGGCTGGGTCTGGCCGTGAAAGAATGTTCCTTCGATAGTGACAACTTCAAATTTCCCCTGATGGTAAGGTGACAGCGGAGAAATAATGTGTGCTTGCGCCACTGGCTTAGGCTGCGTCCCAAATGTTACCCAATTCCCTACATAGTGCACTACTTTTGACCAGGACCCATAGGGCAATATCTAGGGAATAGGGTGCCATTTGGGACGTAGTATTAATGTTGTCTTTTAGATGCTGGCTGGCAGCCTGGTGTCTGAGCCTGTCTAACTTATAGAGGGGCAGTTCTAGATGTGTCTAATGGATTTACTTGAGGCTGAATCTCTACTAGCGTAATGAGCCAATAAACCTTCAGTTAACCTTTAGGCTCCCACCATAGATATAGAATTACTAGAATGGGTATTTCCCATTAAAATCAATGGTTCTGTGATTGGTGGACTGGTGGCCATATTGAGTGTACTCATGTGTCTTCCAGACAAATTGCAGTGGTCTGAGGGGCTTTACCTGTTCTAGGAATTCTATTTCTATGAATCCAACTAAAGGCTGGGTAACATGATTGGACATTTTTATGCGCACAACTTGTCTTGTCAAACCTGTCATAAGATGACTTTGGGTGTTTTCTTATACCAGGGGTCAGAAACCTATTGTCATTGCAGTCAATGGTCAATGTTATTAGGCTATGTCTGATGGCTGTTCATTTAACGTTCACTTACGACGTGTTTCGTTTTCTACAGGCATTAGCTGAGCTATGCGAAATCAAGTTTGGGAAGACTCACCCCATGTGCAATTTGGTGAGTGTGCTGGAAGACATGGAGCCATCCTTCCTATGTCTTTCTTGATCCATTACTGAGGTTGCGAACAATCTCCTCCAGTGCACCTTGTAGTCCAAGGTGTTGACTCTTCTCCTTCTAAACTGATACCACTAAACTCTCAAGACATCAAAACACTTTCACAAACCTTTTCCGCCGATTAGACCAACTACAGACAGTAGATGAAAAACAACATTGTTTCCATTGGCACAATAGAAAGAAGTAGTTATTTTCTAGCACTGGATACGTCCCAAATGACACCCTATTTCCTATATAGTGCGCTACATTTGACCAGGGCCCATAGGGCTTTGGTCAAAAGTAGTGCACTGAATAAGGTGCAATTTGGGACGCACACAGTCTTATCTGAAGCTTTCTGCTCGAGACTCAACCGGCCCACTTCACAGAAGCAGGGAAGAATTTGGCTTTGTTCTTTTATTCATGACAGGTTCGTCTAGCTCACATTCTCGAGGAACGGGAAGACAAAAAGGATACGTCCCAATTGGCCCCTATACACTTTATAGCACACTACCTTTCACCAGGTCCCAGTGGTACTGGTGACTTCCTTAAGCAAGTATGGCTTAGTAATTTAATGCTCACCTCATGTATGTGCCTGTCTAATATAAAGTGTGTGTGTGTCCAGATGACGTCTCTGCCCTTGTGGTGTCCTAAGTCTCTGAGCCCGGGGACTGGCCGAGAGGTCCAGAGACTCTCCTTCCTGGGAGCCTTCTTCAGCCTGTCGGTCTTTGCAGAGGATGACGTGAGTAATAGGAATAGGGTGAAGTTACCCCTAGACACTGATGCTGGGTCAGTTTTGCATTTTCCATACTAATGCAATCTGAAATTCAAACCATAATGAAGCGAACACCTTGCCACCTTTTTGGTAAACAGCTTATGGATCAAATAAAATTGTATTGGTCACATGCGCCGAATACAACAGGTGTAGACTTTACAGTGAAATGCTTACTTACGAGCCCATTCCTATCAATGCAGAGTTAAAAAGTAAGACAAATATTTGCTAAATATAAAAGGAAATAGGAATACAATTTTAAAAAACGAGGCTATATACAAGGAGTACCAGTACCGAGTCAATGTGCAGGGGTACGAGGTAGTTGAGGTAAATGAGGTAATCCATTATGTACAGTCGTGGTCAAAGGTTTTGAGAATGACACAAGTATTGGTCTCCACAAAGTTTGCTGATTCAGTGTTCTTAGATCTCTATGTCAGTAGTTACTATGGTACACTGAAGTATAATTACAAGTATTCCATAAGTGTCAAAGGCTTTCATTGACAATGACATTCAGTTTATGCAATGAGTCAATATTTGCAGTGTTGACCCTTCTTTTTCAAGACCTCTGCAATCCGCCCTGGCATGCTGTCAATTAACTTCTGGGCCACATCCTGACTGATGTCAGAAGTTGTGGGTTTTTGTTTGTCCGCCCGCCTCTTGAGGATCGACAACAAGTTCTCAATGGGATTAAGGTCTGGGGAGTTTCCTGGCCATGGACCCAAAATGTCAATGTTTTGTTCCCCGAGCCACTTAGTTATCACTTTTGCCTTATGGCAAGGTGCTCCATCATGTTGGAAAAGGCATTGGTCGTCACCAAACTGTTCTTGGATGGTTGGGAGAAGTTGCTCTCGGAGGATGTGTTGGTACCATTCTTTATTCATGGCTGTGTTCTTAGGCAAAATTGTGAGTGAGCCCACTCCCTTGGCTGAGAAGCAACCCCACACATGAATGGTCTCAGGATGCTTTACTGTTGGCATGACACAGGACTGATGGTAGCGCTCACCTTGTCTTCTCCGGACAAGGTGTTTTCCGGATGGCCCAAACAATTGGAAAGGGGATTCATCAGAGAAAATGACTCTACCCCAGTCCTCAGCAGTCCAATCCCTGTACCTTTTGCAGAATATCAGTCTGTCCCTGACGTTTTTCCTGGAGAGAAGTGGATTCTTTGCTGCCCTTCTTGAAACCACGCCATCCTCTAAAAGACTTTGCCTCACTGTGCGTGCAGATGCACTCACACCTGCCTGCTGCCATTCCTGAGCAAGCTCTGCACTGGTGGTGCCCTGATCCCGCAGCTGAATGAACTTTAGGAGACGGTCCTGGCGCTTGCTGGACTTTCTTGGGCACCCTGACGCCTTCTTCACAACAATTGAACCTCTCTCCTTGAAGTTCTTGATGATCCGATAAATGGTTGATTTAGGTGCAATCTTACTAGCAGCAATATCCTTGCCTGTGAAGCCCTTTTTGTGCAAAGCAATGATAACTGCACGTGTTTCCTTGCAAGTAATCATGGTTGACAGAGGAAGAACAATGATTTCAAGCACCACCCTCCTTTTAAAGCTTCCAGTCTGTTATTCTGACTCAATCAGCATGACAGAGTGATCTCCAGCCTTGTCCTCGTCAACACTCTCACCTGTGTTAACGAGACAATCACTGACATGATGGCAGCTGGTCCTTTTGTGGCAGGGCTGAAATGCAGTGGAAATGTTTTTTGGGGATTCAGTTCATTTTCATGGCAAAGAGGGACTTTGCAATTAATTGCAATTCTTCTGATCACTCTTCATGACATTCTGGAGTATATGCAAATTGCCATCATCAAAACTGAGGCAGCAAACTTTGTGGAGACCAATACTTGTGTCATTCTCAACTTTTGACCACGACTGTACATGTGAGTAGGGGTTAAAGTGACTAGGGAATCAGGATATATAAAAGAGTAGCAGCAGCGTATGTAAAAGTGTCTGTGTGGCATCAATATGTTTGTGTGTCTGTGTGTGAGTAGTCTAGTGAGTGTGCAAGGGAGTCGTTGCAAAACAATTAAGATAAAAAAATAATAAAGGGGGTCAAGGTAAATTGTCCAGGTAGCCGTTAGATTAACTGTTCAGAAGTCTTATGGCTTGAGGGCATAAGCTGGTCTGGTGCCTTTTGGTCTCAGACAGGTACCGCTTGCCATGCAGTAGCAGAGAGAACAGTCTATGACTTGGGTGGGTGGAGTCTTTGACAATTTTTATGGCCTTCCTCTGACACCGCCTCCCTGGATGGCTGGGAGGAACTTAAAGCTCTCGCCCTGCTCCACTACTGCCCTGTCGGTGTGAATGGGGGTATGTTTGGCCATCTGTTTCCTGTTGTCCACGATCATCTCCTTTGTCTTGCCCACATTGAGGGAGAGGTTGTTGTCCTGGCACCACACTGCCAGGTCTCTGACCTCGTCCCTATAGACTCTTGTCATCGGTGATCAGGCCTACCTTCGTCGTGTCGTCAGCAAACGTAATGATGGTGTTGGAGTCGTGGGTGAACAGGGAGTACAGGAGGGGAATAAGCACGCACCCCTGAGGGGCCCCCGTTTTGAGGGTCACTGTGGTGGATGTGTTGTTGCCTACCCTCACCACCTGGGGTTGGCCCGTCAGGAAGACCAGGATCCAGTTGCAGAGGGAGGTGTTCAGTGACAGGGTCCTTAGCTTAGTGATGAGCTTGGAGGGCACTATGGTGTTGAACGCTGAGCTGTAGTCAATGAAAAGCATTCTCACGTAGGTGTTCCTTTTGTCCAGGTGGGAAAGGACAGTGTGGAGTGCGATAGAGATGCGTCATCTGTGGATCTGTTGGGACGGTATGCGAATTGGAGTGTGTCCAGGGTTTCTGGGATGATGATATTGATGTGAGCCATGACCAGCAATTCTAAAGCATTTCAAGGCTACAGATGTGAGTGCTATGGGGTGGTAGTTACCTTGGCGTTCTTAGGCACAGGGACTATGGTGGTTTGCTTGAAACTTAGATATAACAGACTGGGTCAGAGAGAGGTTGAAAATGTCAGTGAAGACACTTGCCAGCTGGTCAGCGCATGCTCTGATTACGCGTCCTGATAATCCATCTGGCCCTGCGGCCTTGTGAATGTTAACCTGTTTAATGGTCTTACATCGGCTACGGAGAGCTTGATCATACAGTCATCTGGAACAGCTGGTGATCTCACGCATGGTTCAGTGTTGCTTGCCTCAAAGTGAGCATAAAGGTATTTAGCTCATCTGATAGGCTCGCGCCACTGGGCAGCTCTCGGCTGGGTTTCCCTTTATTATCTGTAATAGTTTGCAAGGTCTGCCATATCCGACGATTGTCCGAGCCGGTGTAGTAGGATTCGTTCTTAGTCCTGTATTTACTTTTTTGCCTGTTTGATGGTTCGCCAGAGGGCATAGCAGGATTTCTTATAAGCGTCCAGATTGGTGTCCTGCTCCTTGAAAGCGGAAGCTCTACATTTACATTTTAGTCATTTAGTAGACGCTCTTAACCAATTAGGGCACATCGACAGTTTTTTCCCCTTGTCGGCTCGTGGATTTAAACCAGCGACCGGTTACTGGCCCAACGCTCTTAACTGCTAGGCTACCTGCCGCCCTCTAGCCTTTAGCTCAGTGTGGATGTTGCCTGTAATCCATGGCTTCTGGTTGGGATATGTACGTATGGTCACTGTGGGGAAACGTTGTCGATGCACTTATTAACCTCTTAAGGATCGGACCCTTTTTTTCAATTTTCGCCTAAAATGACATACCCAAATCTAACTGTCCTGTAGTTGAGGACCTGAAGCAAGGATATGCATATTCTTGATACCATTTGAAAGGAAAACACTTTGAAGTTTGTGGAAATTTGAAATTAATGTAGGAGAATATAACACATTAGATCTGGTGAAGATAATGCAAACAAAAAAAACATGCGTTTTCTATTAATTTTTTTGTTACATCTTTGAAATGCAAGAGAAAGACCACAATATAATATTGCAGTTTAGGCGCAATTTAGATTTTGGCCACTAGATGGCAGCAGTGTGTGTGCAAAGTTTCATATTGATCCAGTGAAGCATTGCAATACTGTACTATTTTGTATGAAGTCTGCCCAAATGTGCCGAATTGGTGAATTGATACATTTTCAAGTAAATAACTATAGAGAACATACATTTTGTATTACCATATCATTTTTGTAAGTTTACACACTACCATGAATGTCATACATGATGGATCATTAGCTTATACACTAACTTTCACACACCTATGTGGCCGGGCAGGGTGGGTGTGGAGCCAGAGACGGCAAGGGTTGAAACTGTAGAACCCAGTTCCTACATAAAAAAATAAAAAAAATAAAAAAAGATTTTATCAAACAAAACAATGCTACATTTTATCTCTGGGACCCTTAGGATGACAAATCAGAGCAAGATTACTGAATGTAAGTACATTATTTACCTTCAGAGGTGAATGTATCAAACCAGTTTGCTGTGATAAGTTTTTTGTTGTTGTGCACTCTCCTCAAACAATAGCATGGTATTTTTTCACTGTAATAGCTACTGAAAATTGGACAGTGCAGTTAGATTAACAAGAATGTAAGCTTTCTGTCCATATATAACATGTCTATGTCCTGGAAAGTTTGCTGTTACAACAGTCATGCTAATCACATTAGCGCACGTTAGCTCAACTGTCCCTTATACGGGACACCGATCCCGTAGAGATTTAATGAAGCCGGTGACTGATGTGGTAAAGTCCTCAATGCTATTGGATGAATCCCAGAACATATTCCATCCAGTCTGTGCTAGCGAAACAGTCCTGTAGCTTAGCATCCGCTTCATCGGACCACTCGTCACTGGTACTTTACTCATCACTGGTACTTTACTGTTTTGAGTTTTTGCTTGTAAGCAGGAATCAGGAGGATAGACTTATGGTCCCAGTTGCCAAATGGAGGGCGGGGGAGCGCTTTGTATGTGTCTCTGTGTGTGGAGTAAAGGTGATCTAGAGTTTTTTTTTTTCTTTCTGTGGTTGCACAGGTGACACGTTGGTAGAAATAAGGTAAAACGGATTTCAGTTTTCCTGCATTAAAATCACCGGCCACTAGGAGTGCCACCTCTGGATGAGCATTTTCTTATTTGCTTATGGACCTATACAGCTCGTCGGTCTTTGTGCCAGCATCGGTTTGTGGTAGTAAATAGACAGCTGCAAAAAATACAGATGAACTCTTGGTAAATAGTATGGTCTACAGCTCATCATGAGGTATTCTAACTCAAGCGAGCAGCACCTCGAGACTTCCTTAATATTAGAGATCGCGCACCAGCTGTTGTTAATAGACACACCAGCCCCCGATCTAACCGGACTCTGCTGTTATGTCCTGCCGATGCATAGGAAAAACCAACTAGATTTATATTGTCCTTGTTCAGCCATGACTTCAAGAAGCATAGTATATTATTAATGTCCCGTTAATAGGATAGTCTCAAATGGAGCTCGTCCAGTTTATTCTCCAGCAATTGCACATTCGCCAATAGAACAGAGGGTTAGGGTTGGGGATTTGGGCCTAGTCCGGGATAAGCAATGTCTTTATCCTCTGACTCAATGAAGTAGAAGTCCTCGTCCAAGTCGAGGTTAGTGATAGCTTTTCTGATGTCCAGAACCTCTTTTCGATCATAGAAAACGATGTTAGAAAAATTATGTACAAAAAAAGATCAGTGCAAAAAAATGCACAACACAGCACAATAGGTCAGGAGCCTGTAAAACGGCCTCATTCCCTCTGGCTTCATTCTTCACTTGATGGTGCTGGAGAAATGTAACTACTCTCAAATTCATAGACAGAGCTATGGATGCAATGACTGACCATCCATGAGATCAAAATGACAGTTTTTGAAGCTGTACAGTGTTTGTTTACAGTTACATTGTTTACAAAGAACAGATTAAAATAAGCTTGTTTTTTGTGGCTCTGATAGGGTACTACAGTTGAACTAAGCTCATGAGGCATTTCTTAGTTATATTTTTCAAGAATCAATGGCTATACAGTGCATTCGGAAAGTATTCAGACCTCTTTACTTTTTTCACATTGTTACATTACAGCCTTATTCTAAAATGGATTCAATCGTTTTTCCCCCTCATCAATCTACACACAATACCCCATAATGACGAAGCAAAAAAAGGTTTTTAGAAATGTTTGCAAATGTGTAAAAAAACAACTGATATTACATTTACATAAGTATTCAGACCTTTTACTCAGTACTTTGTTGAAGCACCTTTGGCAGCGATTACAGCCTTGAGTCTTCATGGGTATGACGCTACAAGCTTGGCACACCTGTGTTTGGGGAGTTTCTTCCATTCGTCTCTGCAGATCCTCTCAAGCTCTGTCAGGTTGGATGGGGAGCGTCTCTGCACAGCTATTTTCAGGTCTCTCCAGAGATGTTTGATCGGGTTCAAGTCCGGGCTCTGGCTGTGCCACTCAAGGACATTCAGAGACTTGTCCCGAAGCCACTCTTGCGTTGTCTTGGCTGTGTGCTTAGGGTCGTTGTCCTGTTGGAAGGTGAACCTTCGCCCTAGTCTGAGGTCCTGAGCGCTCTGGAGCAGGTTTCATCAAGGATCTCTCTGTACTTTGCTCCGTTCATCTTTTCCTCGATCCTGACTAGTCTCCTGTCCCTGCCACTGAAAAACATCCCCACAGCATGATACTGCCACCACAATGCTTCACCGTAGGGATGGTGCCAGGTTTCCTCCAGATGTGACGCTTGGCATTCAGGCCAAAGAGTTCAATCTCGGTTTCATCAGACCAGAGAATCTTGTTTCTCATGGTCTAAGAGTCCTTCAGGTGCCTTTTGGCAAACTCCAAGCGGCCTGTCATGTGCCTTTTTTACTGAGTAGTGGCTTCTGTCTGGCCACTCTACCATAAAGGCCTGATTGGTGGAGTGCTGCAGAGATGATTGTCCTTCTGGAAGGTTCTCCCATCTCCACAGAGGAACTCTGGAGCTCTGTCAGTGACCATCGGGTTCTTAGTCACCTCCCTGACCAAGGCCCTTCTCCCCCCATTGCTCAGTTTGGCTGGACGGCCAGCTCCAGGAAGAGTCTTGGTGGTTCCAAACTTCTTCCATTTAAAAATGATGGAGGCCACTGTGTTCTTGGGACCTTCAATGCTGCAGAAATGTTTTGGTACCCTTCCCCAGATCTGTGCCTTGACACAATCCTGTCTCAGAGCTCTACAGACAATTCCTTCGACCTCATGGCTTGGTTTTTGCTCTGACATGCACTGTCAACTGTGGGACCTTTATATAGACAGGTGTGTGCCTTTCCAAATCATGTCCAATCAATTGACTTTAACACACGTGGACTCCAATCAAGTTGTAGAAACATCTCAAGGATGATCAATGGAAACGCACCTGAGCTCAATTTCGAGTCTCATAGCAAAGGGTCTGAATACTTATGTAAATAAGGTATTTCTGTTTTTTATTTTTAAGAAATTTGCCAAAATTGATAACCTGTTTTTGCTTTGTCATTATGGGGTATTGTGTGTAGGTTGATGAGGAAAACAATTAATTTAATTCATTTTAGAAAAAGGCTGTAAATTAACAAAATGTGGAAAAAGTCAAGGCGTCTGAATACTTTCAGAATGCACTGTATATCAATAAATGTTAACTCCCAAAATGTATGGACTTTAAGGTTTGGATTGTGGGAGGGGAAGCTGATCCTAGATCTCTACTAGAAGCAAACCACCTTGGCGCTGAGTAATATAACTTGTGTGAATCAATGCAATGTGGCCCAACAGGCTGAAAAGCAAGAGGAATATAGCCTAGCAGCATAGCTTGTCCCTGGGAATACCTCAATTTTGCTGAATGTTAACGTTTTTCTGGTGTTACCTAGTGTATTGCTCAAGTTTACCTTACAAAATGCTAAATCGAACGCTCACAGAGCTACAAAATTACTTCAGTGCTTACCCTTGACAAATTACTTCAGTGCTTACCCATGACAAGTCTATATCAAATTGCATCCAGAATTATGTTGGCGTTATTACTTTGACCAGCAAAGAAATTACTTTATTTATTTATTTATATATTTATTTGGGGTCTTTTCCCCCTCAGACCAAAGTTGGTGACAAGTACTTCTCGGGCCCTGCGATCACCACAGAGAACACTCGTGTGGTCAGCCAATCCCTGCAGCACTACCTGGAGTCAGCCCGGGTAAGTCCCGCCCCCCCTGTGTCTATCATGGCTTGTCATTTGCCCAAGTATACTTACCTCAATTTGGCATGACATAATCATTTTTTATATTCTTTTTTGTCAGAGTGAAATGTTTAAAATCCTCCACAACATCCTACTGAACGGAGAGACAAGAGAGGTAGCTCTCAACTATATGGCAGCTCTGGTCAACCGCAATGTGAAGAAAGCCCAAATGCAGGTAAAGTGGTCCTAACCTGTATTAATTCATCTAGAAAATGTCTGAATTGAGGGTTTCTAATGTGACCATTTCAAGCTAGAATGTCTAACCCCAAAATCTGGAGAGACCCAATGCTATTCTAGCACACCATCTCCCCTCTCTCCCTACCTTTCCTGTTAGTATTTCACTGTCCTATCGGGGAAAAAATAGATGAAGAAATATGAAAGGAGTGTGACTGCCCCACTCCTTAAATAACCAAAAAAAGTAAGTGAGCGTTTCTTTATTTCAAATCTTCCCTTCCTCCCCTCATCCTCTCGCAGACGGACGACAAGCTGGTGTCCACGGATGGCTTCATGATCAACTTCCTGTCGGTGCTGCAGCAGCTGAGCATGAAGATCAAGCTGGAGACGGTGGACCCCTATTACATCTTCCACCCGCGCTGCCGCCTGCATGTCAGCCCCGAGGAGACCCGACTCAAGGCCACCATGGAAGAGCTCAAGACCTGGCTGGCTGAGATGTGTGAGTGGACGCCATAGATAATTTAACAGAGCCTCTATGCATCAGAATGGAACAATTTGTCTGCTCTATATCTATTTGGACACCACTATCGCCGTCATAATGTTAACGATAATGAATAATGTATTATATTGAGATCACACCTGGGTTCAAGTGGTATTTGTTTTCTTTCAAATGCTTGAGCATTTAAATGAGCCGACCTGGGGTGTCAGGAGGGCGGGGTTAGCACTTTTGGAACTATTCCATTGGTTCTGTTGTGCCAGACAAGCTCAATCAAATGCAGCTAAAGTATTTGAAAAAAACAAAATAAATGCTATTAGAAACTAGGTCTGGTTGAGATTATGCATAGAAACACTGAAGACCCCATTTGTTGGCACATAAGCAGCACACTGCTAATGTGCATTAGAGGCAAGGCTATACAGAGTGTTTGCTTCTAGGGGTTGTCTTGAGCCTAAATAGGTCCCCTAAATGGACAGGGGAAAGGTGCACGCCGCCACACACCCATGAACAAAAGCATATAGGCCTATTGTTTGCTGAAAAGAAAGTATTTGTGTGGTTTAGTTGCAATTATCAACTAAACTTGCATAGTGCATCTTTAAAGTTGCTTTGTGTGCGGCCTGACCATATTCACATAGAAATGTGAGTTGTCGATCTATTATTCACATTGAGAGCAAGTCTGATAAGCGGTAGATCTGTTCTATGTGCACTATTTCTATGCTTCCTGTCCTTAAGTTACATTTTTGTGTGTTTTTACTTTGTATTTTCAGCTTTTTGAAAAAGGTACAAAAACGAATGTTTTTGGTTATTGAACAGACATTTCACAGAGATTTAGATGCTACAATGATTCTCACACGAACTGAAATGTAAAATTTTAGCAACCAGGCAATGGCGGAGTGATTTCTACGTATTCAGTGTTGCACCGCCGCTGCTAAATCGTTGCCGCCACTCCAAAAAATATGATTCTGCTGAGACGCTTTTAAAGGGATAGTGCGAGGTTTTGCCAATCAAGCCCTTTCTCTACTTACCTAGAGTCAGATGAACTCATGGATACCATCTTTGTCTCTGCATGCAGTTTGAAGTAAGTTGCTAACTAGCATTACCACAAATGCTAACTAGCGTTAGTGCAATAAATGGAAGTCTATGCGAACAGCTAGCATGCTCGCAAAGCTACGTTCAACTTCCTTCAAACTGCATGTAGAGCAGTGTTTCCTCTGGAAAATTTGTAGCAGTGGGGGAAAAGGTCGCGGAGAGGATGGTGTTTTTGAGGTAGGGTGTCATTTTACCCCAACTATAACCCTACAATTGACCCGTGTTACATTTAGCCCCACTCTTCCCTATGCGCTCACAGTGAATTGTGGAGCAGTAAAGTGCTTAACTATGCCGCTGCTAAAAACTACTGATTTTAAAAGGGTTTGTGCATATTTATGTTGATAAATAAAGTAGGAATGGAAAGCTATCAAATGTTGCACTATCCCTTTAAGATAATCTTGACACGTTACAATGTACAGTACTAGTCAAAAGTTTGGACACATCTACTCATTCCAGGGTTTTTCTTTATTTTTACTATTTTCTACATTGTAGAATATTAGTGAAGACATCAAAACGATGAAATAACACATGGAATCATGTAGTAACCAAAAGTGTTAAACAAATCAAAATATATTTGAGATTCTTCAAAGGAGCCACCCTTTGCATTGATGACAGCTTTGCACACTGTTGGCATTCTCTCAACCAGCTTCATGAGGTAGTCACCTGGAATGCATTTCAATTAACAGGTGTGCCTTGTTAAAAGTTAATTTGTGGAATTTATTTCCTTAATGCGTTTGAGCCAATCAATTGTGTTGTGACAAGGTAGGGTTGGTATACAGAAGATAGCCCTATTTGGTAAAAGACCAAGTCCATATTATGGCAAGAACAGCTCAAATAAGCAAAGAGAAACGACAGTTCATCATTACTTTAAGACATGAAGGTCAGTCAATATAGAACATTTCAAGAACTTTGAAAGTTTCTTCAGTCGCAAGAACCATCAAGCGCTATGATGAAACTGGCTCTCATGAGGACCGCCACAGGAAAAGAAGACCCAGAGTTACCTCTGCTGCAGAGGATAAGTTCATTAGTTACCAGCCTCAGAAATTGCAGCCCAAATAAATGCTTCACAGAGTTCAAGTAACAGACACATCTCAACATCAACTGTTCAGAGGAGACTGCGTGAATCAGGCCTTCATTGTCGAATTGCTGCAAAGAAACCACTACTAAAGGACACCAATAAGAAGAGACTTGCTTGGGCCAAGAAACACAAGCAATGTACATTAGACTGGTGGAAATCTATCCTTTGGTCTGATGGGTCCAAATTTGAGATTTTTGGTTCCAGCTGCCATGTCTTTGTGAGACGCAGAGTAGGTGAACGGATGATCTCCGCATGTGTGGTTTCCACCGTGAAGCATGGAGGAGGAGATGTGATGGTGTGGGGGGACTTTGCTGGTGACACTGTTGGTGATTCATTTAGAATTCAGGGCACACTTAACCAGCATGGCTGCCGCAGCAGCGATGCGCCATCCCATCTGGTTTGGGCTTAGTGGTACAATCATTTGTTTTTCAACAGGACAATGACCCAAAACACACCTCGAGGCTGTGTAAGGGCTATTTGACCAAGAAGGAGAGATGGAGTGCTGCATCAGATGACCTGACCACCACAATCACCCAACCTCAACCCAATTGAGATGGTTTGGGATGAGTTGGACTGCAGAGTGAAGGAAAAGCTGGCAACAAGTGCTCAGCATATGTGGGAACTCCTTCAAGACTGTTGGAAAAGCATTCCAGGTGAAGCTGGTTGAGAGAATGCCAAGAGTGTACGAAGCTGCCATCAAGGCAATGGGTGGCTACTTTGAAGAATCTCAAATATAAAATATATTTTGATTTGTTTAACACTTTTGGTTGCTACATGATTCCATATGCATTATTTCATAGTTTTGATGTCTTCACTATTATTCTACAATGTAGGAAATAGTAAAAATAAAGAAAAACCCTTGAATGAGTAGATGTGTCCAAACTTTTGACTGGTACTGTATATTTGTAGCAAACCGGGCGAGCAGTGGCACGAAAGAGAGCCACGAGCGCAGTCACCGCTTGCTCCTCATCATCTCCCTACTGTGTAGTGGCACCAGGGCTCTAAATTGCAAATAATTAGTTACCAGTATATCTAAACATTTGGGGGAACCGAAAGAAAGGAAAAGGGATAGCTTCTGCAGGAACTCAATGACCATAGCAATGCATTTTCAATGTAATGCATCTCAATAGGTAGAATGTAGAAACCTAATATTCCACAAATGACTATCATATTTGAGCTTTTATTATAAACAAATGTCTTTACAGGGTTAAGATGTTAGCTTATAGGACACAAGTAGCTTGAAATTCATATAGGCCCGATATAGGCTATATCTCATTAAGTTTAAAAAATCGTATTTTCTCGTGCTTCTACATTTTATGTTGTGCTCCTAACTTTTTTAATTTGGGAGCAACAGTGCTAACAAAGTTTTTGTTTTTTTAGCCCAGAGTGGCGCGCATCAGTTATTTCAGATGGTGTCAACATAATTACATTTTCATGCATTTTGGAGTAGAATGTGTTTTGGAAAAAGTCACCAGAAATGACCTCATAGTCGTTCTACAAAACTATCTCCCAGGGGAGCACAAGACTGATTGTTACACACCACTCATCCCAACCCACTAAACTAACCCACTATAACAAGCCCCACACTCACTAACCAAACTACAATAGCGACCCTATTTACTATAGCAAATCCATGGCCTACGTATCTAAAACATTCAGTATTAATACTGTGATGTACTGCTACTAGTACTTCTGGGCTACTTACTACTACTACCTTGTCTCTCGCTGAAGGCTGCTATCAACTCCCTCTACTACACCAGCCTACATTTTTCAACACTAACAATCTTTTAAACTTCTTCCCACTAGATTCACCATCATATTTCTCTCCCCAAATGATGGCCTGAAACTTTTCTGATTCTTTGAGTAAAAGTGTAGTAGTCTGAGTGTAGTTATTTGTGATGAAATATGTGGTCTAATAGTCTATCAAAGTAATCAGACCAGATATTTTTATATATTTAACTTGGACTATATTTCACTTAAGTAAACGTTTCAAACTTCAACTACCACAAAAATACTTTTAAAGATCTGAAGCAAGTCACACAAATTTCTTTCATGGAATATTACAATCTTTAATTACCATAAAATAAATGTACCATCTAGTTATTTATTGTTGTTAATGTTGTGACAAACTGGATGTGCCATTCACCTACCTGAAAGTTTCCTCATTGTTGTCCAAATTTGTTTTGTTGACAGATGACGACCCCTCAAAGTTCTCTGAGCCGAAGTTCCCCACAGAGTGTTTCTTTCTGACGCTGCACACCCACCACCTGTCCATCCTACCGGGCTGCCGACGCTACATCCGCAGGCTGAGAGCCATCCGCGAGCTCAACAGGTACACTCACACACCACAGAAACACACACACACACGAGGACAAGGGGCCACAGCCACTCAAATAACCTGGGACTAGAGTTGTCATTTTCAGCCCAAACCCGAAAGGGCCCAACGTTACATGATGGCAATCTGTATTTTCAAAAGCATGTGAGTCTCGTGTTCATATTTCACAAACTCTGCAGGCTTTTGGAGTTGCCTATAGCAAAATAATACACCTGATTTTAAGATACGTTATTTATTACATTCTAAATGTTTCTGATCAGTGACAGATGAGCAAAATAATAGATGAGCTACCACCTCCACTTATTTGCCCAGCCAGAGATAAATTAACCAAATATTTCGATGGAGATTCAGTGAAAGAAAATCCCATTGATTGATTATCAGGCTTTTGGCTACTACGGGAGTGAAGAGCAAAATCCCCTTGTTAAGCTACATAACATGCTAGCAAAATGTTCTGATCAGTGCTAATATACACTAAACTAAAATATGAACGCAACATGTAAAGTGTTGGTCCCATGTTTCGTGAGCTGAAATACAAAAAGCTTATTTCGCACAAATTTGTTTACGTCCCTGTTGGTGAGCATTTCTTCTTTGCTAAGATAATCCATCCACCTGACAGGGGTGGCATATCAAGAAGCTGATTAAACAGCATGATCATTACACAAGTGCACCTTGTGCTGGGGACAATAAAAGGCCACTCTAAAATGTGCTGTTTTGTCACACAATGCCACATGTCTCAAGTTTTGAGGGAGCGCGCAATTGGCATGCTGACTGCAGCAAAGTCCACCAGAGCTGTTGCCAGAGAATTTAATTTTTAATTTCTCTACCATAAGCCAACATCGCTTTAGAGAATTTGACAGTACGTCCAAACGGCCTCACAACCGCCGACCACGTGTTACCACGACATGCGGGATCGTCTGAGACCATTGAGGAGTATTCATATCTGTAATAAAGCCCTTTTGTGGGGGAAAACTCATTCTGATTGGCTGTGCCTGGCTCCCCAGTGGGTGAAAAAATCAATCAATGTCAGATTTTTGTTATCACGACAAGTCCACACGCTTTAATTGTATTATAATGGTTGGATATGACTTTGGTAGTTTCAGTAAGAAACAATTTGATATATGCCTTCAATTGCATTAGCCTATAACCTATTCCAATATTTTAGTCATTCAGTTGATCATAACTAGGCCTAAGGTGAGTTTCTCTCTCATCGCACTTCTAAGATGAGGGCTGTTTCCTCGTCTCCTCAATCCATTGCCGCCCACCTCCACTGCATTGTTCTCAACACCAGTTTAAATCAATATGCTGTTTTCTAGAATTTTCAGGCTCATTACATTTCTGTGATGTTGGTTCAGGCCTGGGCTCGGGGCTTCAGCTCACCAGGCTTGGGTAAGACTGGACTCTTAACTCTACCTGGGACCATAGAATTTAGAGGTCCATCTCAAGAAAGGAGTTTTCAGAGAGATTTGGCTTCAGAGTTCCAAAAAGATATTGGCTTTGGGTTTTTTAAACTTGTAATAAATGTAATTCGGTCGTCTTCAACCAGTGAAATACCATAATGTAAATGTGTTCATATTTTAATGAGGAGCTCATTGTTACAATTCAGTGGTGATCATTTGATACTTTATTGGCCTAAGAGCGGAGATGATTTCATTGTGTCAAGGTGTGTATGTAGTTTATTAGTGCGTGTATGAAGGCTGGGTTGTATTCACTAGGCACCCAACATTAAGAACATTGACTGAAACAGGGAGGGACAAGCTGAAGTTGTCTAAGAAAGGCTTGTTTTTGTTATCCGTTGCAAGATGTTTTGAATACTAATGAATACGACCCTGTTTTGTTTGGCGTGGCAGGACGGTGGAGGAGCTGAAGAACAGTGAGAGCCAGTGGAAGGACTCTCCGCTGGCCAGCCGACACCGAGAGATGCTAAAAAGATGCAAAACCCAGCTCAAGGTTCGCTAAGACATTTTTCTTGTTTCCCCCCCCCCACTGTTTTCAGGCTAATGGGACTTAACCCACTCTCCCATCTGCTTGTGTTCTGCTTGTCATACGTGATAACGTTTTGGTAAATTTTAAGTGTAAAAACCCTAGAAAACGCAACATTTACTCTATCCCGTGTCATAGTTTGTTTCCGAATCTTCTGTTTTGGGTAGTTTCATAGATTTTTTAAATACTGAAATTAGTGTTGCAAACAAGAAAATAAACAATTTCAACTCTTGTCATGAGTTAAAGACAATATTCACTAGAAACCCCTCAATCTTTGATCTTTGGCCCTGACAGAAACTGGTGCGCTCCAAAGCCTGTGCCGATGCGGGTCTTCTGGACGAGAACCTATTACGCAGATGTCTGCAGTTCTACAGTATGGTCATTCAGCTCATCCTACGCATGGTGGATCCAGCCTACCCACAGTAAGTCACTCTGCCACAACCAGGAACTGTTTTAATGATGCAATATGAGTTCATAGCCTACTTTACATCATAATATATCTGCAGTGATTAAAGGGATAGTGTGAGATTTTGGCAATTAAGCCCTTTTTCAACCTACCCAGTCAGATGAACTCATGGATACCATGTTTATGTCTCTGCGTGCAGTTTGAAGGAAGTTGAGGGTAGTTTTGCGAACCTGTCATTGTCCTGAAGCTAGTTACCAATTAAGCTAACTCTAGTTAGCAACTGCCTTAATACTGCACGCAGACATAAAAATGGTATCTATGAGTTCATCTGACTCTGGTTAAGTAGAAAAAGGGCTTAGTTGCCAAAATCTCACACAATCCATTTAAACTGAGGGATTCAACTTTTTACTAATCTGATAATTATATTATTTAAATGTTTATATTAGATTCATCTTCCTCATCTTTGTGTTATTGTTTGTATTGTGTGACATGCGTTAAGTGGAGCAAAAACTCTCTTATATATTCCTTCCTTCCCTTTGTTTCAGCATGAGTCTACCACTGAATCCGGAGATTCCCAAAAGCTTTGCTGCTCTGCCGGAGTTTTACATTGAAGATGTGGCCGAGTTCCTGCTTTTCGTTGTGCAGTAAGTCGACAGATCGATTGTCATATTAATTGCATAGTAAAAGGCCAGACAAATAACCCAGAGTGGGATTGATGGTGTCCATTTACCCTGTTTTACAATGAAGCAAATGATTAGTTCCATCTTTTATGCATTTCTTGGAGAATTGTTTACTAAAATGCTAACTTCAAAGGGATGTGGTATCAGTAGGGCCAAGAGGATTTCCTGACCATGTGACCCGACCTGGAGAAACTCCTAGCTCTCTCCATTCTCTTTCCTTTATTAATAAATACATGAGGAGGACCATCCTCCTCTTCCTCCCTGGACAAGCTTCCTCTGTTTTGACTTTTTCTCAATTAGTCTCCCCCTTGATTCTTGCATATGCTCTCCTCGCATTTTCTTAAACCGCATTGCAGGAGAGGATCCAAGGTCCCTTCCCTCGGACCTTCTCCACCAATGCGTTTTGAGAAGAAGGCGAGCAGAGAGGTAGCAAGGAATCAAAGAAAGATGAATTGGGTTTAACAACACCCCTCCAAAATAGCTGGTTACACAATAATATGTATAAAAGGGGGTATACCTGCTGAAAAATTGTACACTGAACAAAAATATAAACGCAAGAGGACAAATACATTAGTGTCTAGTTTGAGAAACAGACGCCTTACAGGTCTTGGCAGTTGAGGACCTGTGAGGCGTCAGTTTCTCAAACTAGACACACTAATGTATTTGTCCTCTTGCTCAGTTGTGCACCGGGGCCTCCCACTCCTCTTTCTATTCTGGTTAGAGCCAGTTTGCGCTGTTCTTTGAAGGGAGTAGTACACAGCGTTGTACGAGATCTTCAGTTTCTTGGCAATTTCTCACATGGAATAGCCTTCATTTCTCAGAACAAGAATAGACTGAGTTTTAGAAGAAAGTTCTTTGTTTCTGGCCATTTTGAGCCTGTAATCGAACCCACAATTGCTGATGCTCCAGATACTCAACTAGTCTCAAGAAGGCCAGTTTTATTGCTTCTTTAAATCAAGAAAACAGTTTTCAGCTGTGCTAACATAATTCCAAAAGGGTTTTCTAATTTTTATTTATTTATTTTATTTCACCTTTATTTAACCAGGTAAGCCAGTTGAGAACAAGTTGTCATTTACAACTGCGACCTGGCCAAGATAAAGCAAAGCAGTGCGATAAAAACAACAACAGAGTTACATATGGAATAAACAAAACGTACAGTCAAAAATACAACAGAAAATCTATATACAGTGTGTGCAAATGTAGCAAGTTATGGAGGTAAGGCAATAAATAGGCCATAGTGCAAAATAATTACAATTACTATTAACACTGGAATGAATAGATGTGCAAGAGATTATGTGCAAATAGAGATACTGGGGTGCAAATTAGCAAAATAAATATCAATATGGGGATGAGGTAGTTGGGTGGGCAAATTTCAGATGGGGCTGTGTACAGGTGCAGTGATCGGTAAGGTGCTATGAGATTTTTGCAGTTCGTTCCAGTCATTGGCAGCAGAGAACTGGAAGGAATGGCAGCCAAAGGAGGTGTTGGCTTTGGGGATGACCAGTGAGATATACCTGCTGGAGCGCATACTATGGGTGGGTGTTGCTATGGTGACCAATGAGCTAAGATAAGGCGGGGATTTGCCTAGCAGTGATTTATAGATGACCTGGAGCCAGTGGGTTTGGTGACGAATATGTAGTGAGGACCAGCCAACAAGAGCGTACAGGTCACAGTGGTGGGTAGTATATGGGGCTTTGGTGACAAAACGGATGGCACTGTGATAGACTACATCCAATTTGCTGAGTAGAGTGCTGGAGGCTATTTTGTAAATGACATCGCCGAAGTCAAAGATCGGTAGGATAGTCAGTTTTACGAGGGCATGTTTGGCAGCATGAGTGAAGGAGGCTTTGTTGCGAAATAGGAAGCCGATTCTAGAATTAACTTTGGATTGGAGATGCTTAATGTGAGTCTGGAAGGAGAGTTTACAGTCTAACCAGACACCTAGGTATTTGTAGTTATCCACATACTCTAGGTCAGACCCGTCGAGAGTAGTGATTCTAGGCGGGTGGGCGGGTGACAGCAGCGTTCGATTGAAGAGCATGCATTTAGTTTTACTTGTGTTTAAGAGCATTTGGAGGCTACGGAAGGAGTGTTGTATGGCATTGAAGCTCGTTTGGAGGTTTGTTAACACAGTGTCCAATGATCAATTAGCCTTTTAAAATGATAAACTTGGATTAGCAAACACAACGTGCCATTTTGCTGATAATGGGCCTCTGTACGCCTATGTAGATATTCCATTTAAAAATCAGCCATTTCCAGCTACAATAGCCATTTCCAACATTAACAATGTCTACACTGTGTTTCTGATCAATTTGATGTTATTTTAAAGGACAAAAATTGCTTTCCTTTCGAAAACAAGGACATTTCTAAGTGACCCCAAACTTTTGAACGGTTGTGTGTGTGTGTGTGTATATATATATATATATATATATATATATATATATATATATATATATATATATATATATATACACACACACACACAGTGGGGAGAACGAGTATTTGATACACTGCCGATTTTGCAGGTTTTCCTACTTACAAAGCATGTAGAGGTCTGTAATTTTTATCATAGGTACACTTCCACTGTGAGAGACGGAATCTGAATCAAAAATCCAGAAAATCACATTGTATGATATTTAAGTAATTAATTTGCATTTTATTGCATGACATAAGTATTTGATACATCAGAAAAGCAGAACTTAATAGTTGGTACAGAAACCTTTGTTTGAAATTACAGAGATCATACGTTTCCTGTAGGTCTTGACCAGGTTTGCACACACTGCAGCAGGGATTTTGGCCCACTCCTCCATACAGACCTTCTCCAGATCCTTCAGGTTTCGGGCTGTCGCTGGGCAATACGGACTTTAAGTTCCCTCAAAAGATTTTCTATTGGGTTCTGGTCTGGAGACTGGCTAGGCCACTCCAGGACCTTGAGATGCTTCTTACGGAGCCACTCCTTAGTTGCCCTGGCTGTGTGTTTCGGGTCGTTGTCATGCTGGAAGACCCAGCCACGACCCATCTTCAATGCTCTTACTGAGGGAAGGAGGTTGTTGGCCAAGATCTCGCGATACATGGCCCCATCCATCCTCCCCTCAATACGGTGCAGTCGTCCTGTCCCCTTTGCAGAAAAGCATCCCCAAAGAATGATGTTTCCACCTCCATGCTTCACGGTTGGGATGGTGTTCTTGGGGTTGTACTCATCCTTCTTCTTCCTCCAAACACGGCGAGTGGAGTTTAGACCAAAAAGCTCTATTTTTGTCTCATCAGACCACATGACCTTCTCCCATTCCTCCTCTGGATCAGCCAGATGGTCATTGGCAAACATCAGACGGGCCTGGACATGCGCTGGCTTGAGCAGGGGGACCTTGCATACGCTGCAGGATTTTAATCCATGACGGCGTAGTGTGTTACTAATGGTTTTCTTTGAGACTGTGGTCCCAGCTCTCTTCAGGTCATTGACCAGGTCCTGCCGTGTAGTTCTGGGCTGATCCCTCACCTTCCTCATGATCATTGATGCCCCACGAGGTGAGATCTTGCATGGAGCCCTAGACCGAGGGTGATTGACCATCATCTTGAACTTCTTCCATTTTCTAATAATTGCGCCAACAGTTGTTGCCTTCTCACCAAGCTGCTTGCCTATTGTCCTGTAGCCCATCCCAGCCTTGTGCAGGTCTACAATTTTATCCCTGATGTCCTTACACAGCTCTCTGGTCTTGGCCATTGTGGAGAGGTTGGAGTCTGTTTGATTGAGTGTGTGGACAGGTGTCTTTTATACAGATAACGAGTTCAAACAGGTGCAGTTAATACAGGTAATGAGTGGAGAACAGGAGGGCTTCTTAAAGAAAAACTAACAGGTCTGTGAGAGCCGGAATTCTTACTGGTTGGTAGGTGATCAAATACTTATGTCATGCAATAAAATGCAAATTAATTACTTAAAAATCATACAATGTGATTTTCTGGATTCCGTCTCTCACAGTTGAAGTGTACCTATGATCAAATTTACAGACCTCTACATGCTTTGTAAGTAGGAAAACCTGCAAAATCGGCAGTGTATCAAATACTTGTTCTCCCCACTGTATATATACTGCTCAAAAAAATAAAGGGAACACTTAAACAACACAATGTAACTCCAAGTCAATCACACTTCTGTGAAATCAAACTGTCCACTTAGGAAGCAACACTGATTGACAATAAATTTCACATGCTGTTGTGCAAATGGAATAGACAACAGGTGGAAATTATAGGCAATTAGCAAGACACCCCCAATAAAGGACTGGTTTTGAAGGTGGTGACCACAGACCACTTCTCAGTTCCTATGCTTCCTGGCTGATGTTTTGGTCACTTTTGAATGCTGGCGGTGCTTTCACTCTAGTGGTAGCATGAGACGGAGTCTACAACCCACACAAGTGGCTCAGGTAGTGCAGCTCATCCAGGATGGCACATCAATGCGAGCTGTGGCAAGAAGGTTTGCTGTGTCTGTCAGCGTAGTGTCCAGAGCATGGAGGCGCTACCAGGAGACAGGCCAGTACATCAGGAGACGTGGAGGAGGCCGTAGGAGGGCAACAACCCAGCAGCAGGACTGCTACCTCCGCCTTTGTGCAAGGAGGAGCAGGAGGAGTACTGCCAGAGCCCTGCAAAATGACCTCCAGCAGGCCACAAATGTGCATGTGTCTGCTCAAACGGTCAGAAACAGACTCCATGAGGGTGGTATGAGGACCCAACGTCCACAGGTGGGGGTTGTGGTTACAGCCCAACACCGTGCAGGACGTTTGGCATTTGCCAGAGAACACCAAGATTGGCAAATTCGCCACTGGCGCCCTGTGCTCTTCAGATGAAAGCGGGTTCACACTGAGCATGTAACAGACGTGACAGAGTCTGGAGACGCCGTGGAGAACGTTCTGCTGCCTGCAACATCCTCCAGCATGACCGGTTTGGCGGTGGGTCAGTCATGGTGTGGGGTGGCATTTCTTTGGGGGGCCGCACAGCCCTCCATGTGCTCGCCAGAGGTAGCCTGACTGCCATTAGGTACCGAGATGAGATCCTCAGACCCCTTGTGAGACCATATGCTGGTGCGGTTGGCCCTGGGTTCCTCCTAATGCAAGACAATGCTAGACCTCATGTGGCTGGAGTGTGTCAGCAGTTCCTGCAAGAGGAAGGCATTGATGCTATGGACTGGCCCGCCCGTTCCCCAGACCTGAATCCAATTGAGCACATCTGGGACATCATGTCTCACTCCATCCAACAACGCCACGTTGCACCACAGACTGTCCAGGAGTTGGCGGATGCTTTAGTCCAGGTCTGGGAGGAGATCCCTCAGGAGACCATCCGCCACCTCATCAGGAGCATGCCCAGGCGTTGTAGGGAGGTCATACAGGCACGTGGAGGCCACACACACTACTGAGCCTCATTTTGACTTGTTTTAAGGACAGTACATCAAAGTTGGATCAGCCTGTAGTGTGGTTTTCCACTTTCATTTTGAGTGTGACTCCAAATCCAGACCTCCATGGGTTGATACATTTGAGTGTGATGTTTGAAATGTGATTTTGTTGTCAGCGCATTCAACTATGTAAAGAAAAAAGTATTTAATAAGATTATTTCATTCATTCAGATCTAGGATGTGTTGTTTTAAGTGTTCCCTTTATTTTTTTGAGCAGTGTATATATGGGGCTGTTTGAATGGGTGTCATATAGAAAGTACATAATTCTTTGAAAATATAAAATACTGCATCTTCTGTGTGAAAATGGCTTTTGACTGACAGTTAGCGTCTGCTTTCTATCCCCCGCAGGTATTCCCCTCAGGTTCTGTATGAGCCCTGCGTCCAGGACATTGTCACCTTTCTGGTGGTGTTCATCTGCAGTCAGAACTACATCCGGAACCCCTACCTGATCGCTAAGCTGGTGGAAGTGCTGTTTGTCACCAACCCGGCAGTGCAGCTGCGCACCCAGCGCTTTTCCGAGATGATGGAGAACCACCCCCTGTCCGTCAAACAGTTGGTCCCGGCCCTCATGAAGTTCTACACAGGTGTGACCACTTGGTGCAGCATTTTGGGAGGGGTAGAATTAGACACATTGCACAATTTTCACACTTTTGCACGAACATGTTTACTGTGCTGGCTTGGATATTTTCTTCAGATTGTTCTTTCCAGCATGGTTCCATCAACTATAGTGGATGTGTAACCATACCATCACAGTACTGCTCGGTTTGGCTCGACTCAGTAGTGTACAAATGCTATTAGAGTGGAGTCAAGTGCACTGATTCTCACAGGCAACTGACTCTTGTGTGCCTTCCCTTCCACAGATGTGGAGCACACTGGTGCCACCAGCGAGTTCTACGACAAGTTCACCATCCGCTACCACATCAGCACCATCTTCAAGAGCCTCTGGCAGAACGTGGGTCACCACGGCACTTTCCTGGAGGAGTTCAAGTAAGTGGGCTAGAATCAAAGCTTAGTATTTATCTTATGACAATACCTATTATGGTGATAGCCTGGTCTAAAAAGCTGCCCGCTGTCCGGTCATGCTGAATGCTGCATGTCAAATTTACTCAGACTGAGTTTGTGTGACTTTGACTGGCTTCTGAAGGCCTCCTAGTCAGTCAATCCATCTGTTTATTCCTCTGTAGCTCTGGCAAGCAGTTTGTGCGCTACATCAACATGCTGATCAACGACACCACCTTCCTGCTGGACGAGAGCCTGGAGTCCCTAAAGCGTATCCACGAGGTCCAGGAGGAGATGAAGAACAAGGAGCAGTGGGATCAGCTTCCCAGAGTCAGTACGGTTTTCCCGGGGGAAAAACATGAACATGTTACGAAGCGCCTTTATAATGCCTTACGACTCTTTCTCCCTCAGGAGCAGCAGCAGAGCCGCCAGTCCCAGCTGACCCAGGACGAGCGGGTGTCGCGCTCCTACCTGGCCCTGGCCACCGAGACTGTCGACATGTTCCACATCCTCACCAAGCAGGTCCAGAAGCCCTTCCTCCGGCCCGTAAGTACCACTCTGACCAGGGGAAAAAACATGTTTTTTTTCTCATACTTTCCAGTCTATAAAGGGAGAGATGGGCACTAGAACATAGTTTACAATGTTGTATTCGACAAAGATGCGGTTATATACTGTTTGTCAACAGCCCCCACAGCAGCCAAATAGAACATTGACAATAATATATTTTTTTGCTGGTGTGCTCGAATGGGTAAAAAACTAAGGCCATGGAGGTGATCTTTGAAAAGAGTAGTCTATGACTGGCAGAAAAACTAATGGGAATGATGGCGACCACTTAGTAAAATGAAAAATGTAGGAAAATTAATTGTTTGCTTACTTTTTCCATCAAGGCACTTGCCTTCATCCATTTTCTTCATGAGTGCCATGGTGGGAAAAGTAAGCCCCACGATAATCTTTTTCAAAAACGTTTGTTTACTGAGTGGTGGCCATCATTCCCTTTATTTTTCTGCCAACAATAGAACATTACTGTGTAGCGGCATGGGGAAACATATTACTGTATGAAGCCTACTTCAATAGTAACCATAAACCACTCCTATTCAGGGATGTAGACACTTAATTCATATTTTTCCTGGTGACTTAACTCCCTGCTCTGTGCATTTCAGGAGTTGGGGCCTCGTTTGGCGGCCATGCTGAACTTTAACCTCCAGCAGCTTTGCGGGCCCAAGTGCCGGGACCTGAAGGTGGAGAACCCAGAGAAGTATGGTTTTGAGCCCAAAAAGCTCTTGGACCAGCTTACTGACATTTACCTGCAACTTGACTGTGCCCGCTTTGCCAAGGCCATCGCCGACGATCAGGTAAACTGTAGTAGTAGCACACCTGGCTTTCAAACACTTGGGAAATCGATTCAAATACTTTGCCTGTTGTAGCTTGCATTGTTTAATAAACCAATAAAAAAGTCCCCAAACTGCAAACCTCGCCAATCTGGCACTCCAGGCAGACTCAAGCAAAATGTTATGTATTTGAACCCAGGTCTGAGTAGTAGTAGGCCACAATAAATGTTTGTATGCATGCTTCCACTGTATGTATTTTCTATACTGTATAATTTCACTGATGTACAGTATTACCAGTAAGATTATTTAAAAGATTATTTAAGTGTTTTGACCATTCATGACAAATACATTTATCTAATCTAATCTAAACCCCTGCTAAATAAAGTGCTTTATACATTAAAACGACTCCGAAGGAATGACCTTACTGCAACTTGATTGTTACGCACACAGAAATAGAATTACTAGAATGGACATTCCCATTCAAGTCACATTTTGTGATTGGTGGCCCAGCTATATTAAGTGTATCCATAGCAGGAAGTTAAAGCAGTTCCTATGGTTACACACCTACAGTATGTCATAATACCAAGGCTTGGGTAAAATACTTATTTGATTATGAAACTCAAGGCACATTGTAGTAGTTAGCTACAATACAAAGCCTGGGGAGAGAATGTGTACTGCCAGCGACTGTGCTCTCAGTACAGACCATGCTGACCATCTCAATGGCGAAGAGGTATAACGATGGAGGAATTCAGATATGTCATTGTTTTAGCACTATCCACTGAGTTTTTAAACTACAGTGCATGTGATGGTTCAATGAACCAACAAAGTAGCACAATATACTTTTGGGTTTTTTCAAATTGGCGGTGTCTAGGTGGTAAAATTGGAATCATGTATACTGTGCTAATGACAATACAAAAAAGGAGTAACAGAGAACAATGTACAATAAGGCGAACTTAGCAAACGAGGCAGTTGTGATAAGTACATGGAGGCCGCCATCTTTATGCACCTCTGCTATTTTGTCATCATTTGGGAGAATGACACACTTGCGTCCCAAAACCTCTCAGGGATAATTCCTTCAAAAGGCTGTTTTCTTCCCTTCCCATTTCCCAGTATGAAAATGTATGCACTCACTAACTGTAAGTCGCTCTGGATAAGAGTGTCTGCTAAATGACTAAAATGTTTTTTTTAATGTGTTCTTTCTCTCCCCTTTCCAGCGGTCGTACAGCCGAGAGCTCTTTGAGGAAGTGATTTCCAAGATGACGAAAGCTGGCATCAAGTCCACCATCGCCATTGAAAAATTCAAGCTACTATCGGAGAAGGTGGAGGAGATAGTCGCCAGGAACTCTCAGTCCGAAATGGACTACAGTGACGCACCTGACGAGTTTAAAGGCAAGTGTTCAAACTCACAAGTGTTTAAACTTAACTTTCTAGTGTATGAACTTAAAAAGTGTTTGAAATCTTTATTTATTGTGTTGTTACTAATTGCCCCTGACAGCAGCGGCATGTTAATTTGGATGCAACATCACAGTATGACTTGAATTGTGCAGACAGGGCACAGTTCTCTATGCCACATTAGTAAAGCACAGTGTCTGTTCTGTACAATACATTTCTATCTGCAATGTTCTGAACTGATTTTTTTCATAACGTATAAGACTTGGATCAAAAGAGCTGACCCCAAGTCAGTTTGATTGGGACATAAAAGTAATGGGAAGACCCTCTATCGTGGTAAAATGTTGGACATTTTACGTGGGTAATGGCGGTCACACAAACCGCTTAGACTGGGCTATCCTATAACCACTGACTTAATATACTCTGGGAGGGGAATGCAGGCTGCATACTTCCTTTTGTGTGCCGTAAAAGACTCAAACCAAAATTGAATCAAATTTGGTTTGTCACTTGCGCCGAATATGCTTACTTACAAGCCTTTAACCAACAATGCAGTTTTAAGAAAAAAAGTGTTAAGAAAATATTTACTAAATAAACAAATTAACATAATAAAATAACAATAACGAGGCTATATACAAGGGGTACCGGTACCGAGTCAATGTGCGGGGGGTACAGGTTAGTCGAGGTAATTGAGGTAATATGTACATGTAGGTAGGGGTAAAGTGACTAGGCATAGATAATAAACAGCGAGTAGCAGTAGCGTTTAAAAAGAAAGGGGGGGGGGGGTTCAATGCAAATAGTCCGGGTAGCCATTTGATCAACTGTTCAGCAGTCTTATGGTTTGGGGGTAGAAGCTGTTAAGGAGCCTTTTGGACCTGCGGTAGCAGAGAGAACAGTCTATGACTAGGGTGGCAGGAGTCTTTGACAATTTTTAAGTCCTTCCTCTGACACCGCCTGGTATAGAGGTCCTGGATGGCAGGAAGCTTGGCACCAGTGATGTACTGGGCCGTACTCACTACCCTCTGTATAGCGCCTTGCAGTCCGATGCCGAGCAGTTGCCATACCAGGCGGTGATGCAACCAGTCAGGATACTCTCGATGGTGCAGCTGTAGAACCTTTTGAGGCTCTGAGGACCCAGGCCAAATCTTTTCAGTCTCCTGAGGGGGATTAGGTGTTGTCGTGCCCTCTTCACGACTGCCTTGGTGTGTTTGGACCATGGTAGTTTGTTGATGATGTGGACACCAAGGATCTTGAAGCTCTCGACCTGCTCCACTACAGCGCCCTCGATGTGGATGGGGGCGTGCTCGGTCTTCCTTTTCCTGTAGTCCACGATCATCTCCTTTGTCTTGATCACGTTGAGGGAGAGGTTGTTGTCCTAGCGCCACACTGTCAGGTCTCTGACCTCCCTATAGGCTGTCTCATCGTTGTCGGTGATCAGGCTTACCACCGTTGTGTCATCAGCAAACTTAATGATGGCGTTGGAGTCGTGCTTGGCCACGCAGTCGTGGGTGAACAGGGAGTACAGGAGGGGACTAAGCACGCACCCCTGAGGGGCCCCCGTGTTGAGGATCAGTGTGGCAGATGTGTTGTTGCCTACCCTTACCACCTGGGGGCGGCCCGTCAGGAAGTCCAGGATCCAGTTGCAGAGGGAGGTGTTTAGTCCCAGGGTCCTTAGCTTAGTGATGAGCTTTGAGGGCACTATGGTGTTGAATGTTGACCTGTAGTCAATGAACAGCATTGTCACTTAGGTGTTCCTTTTGTCCAGGTGGGAAAGGGCAGTGTGGAGTGCAATAGAGATTGCGTCTTCTGTGGATCTGAGGTGTCAACTAACTATCTCGGGTTAAAGAAAACCCTGAGGTTTTATTTTTAAATGTGTAACATATAAAACCCTCAAAGACACCAACCTCAACATTTCAATATAGGACCCAGCATTTCATTTTAAGCTAATTTAATTATCTTCATGATTTCCTTGCATGCGTTTCGGAGAAGTCTATGCTTTGATTTGAGAATACAGACACATGCATGCAAATATACTTGCAGAGGACGTAAAAACACCGTCTGAATAGAGGAAAGTGTGTCGATTTTGATTAATTTCATATTTCATTAACTTTTTTTATTTTATTAAACAATTATTTATTTTCAATATAACACATCGCACTCAAACATGACACAACATTGTACTCTCTCATCCTGGGCGAAATACATTTACACAGCTCAAGGCACATTTCTATATTTTACATTTTTGTTTTTGCATATCACATAATTTCATCCACAAAAAAAACAAATGTTGCATAAATGGGAGGGCTGCAACGAAGGCAAATATATAAATAATTGAAGATACAAATTACATTTGTTTGCATGTGTGTGTTTGTGTCCACAGACCCTCTGATGGACACCCTAATGACAGACCCTGTGATATTGCCCTCTGGGAACATCATGGACCGAGCCATCATCCTCCGCCACCTTCTCAACTCCCCAACTGACCCCTTCAACAGACAGCCGCTCAACGAAAGCATGCTGGAGTCACGTATGTGTACACACACACACACACATGTCTCAAAGTCATATCCACTTAAATTGTAACTCCCTATACTCATAGCCTGCAGTTCAAAATGTTAGTTTGATATGTGAGGAAAAGGAAGTACCCACCCGAAACAAATGTGACTTACTGAAAATGGTGACTTCTAAAGGCTTGGCGAAAAATGTGCATGAAAATGAAGTCATCTGTCGTTGAATGACAACAAACACTTCATTGAAGAATCCCTACTGTTGACCAATCACCGAAGAAGGGGCGTAGACTTCCGATTCCGAACTTTGGCTTGCCCCGAGAGAGAGAAAAAAAACTGCTGAAAAGAAACCTTGCCGAAGGCCAAAACGAATAAAAACATCACAATATATGCATGAACCGTTTCGGATTGGAAGCATGTAGACGTCTTAACCCTAAAGTTTACTTGGACGTCTACCCACTCTTATTTTGCACCCATATCCTTTCCTGTGCACACTCTTGTGGTTCTCAGGTAAAGGGAGGAAACATTCTCAACTCTATCTTGCGTAAAAACAGTGAAAGGGTGCTTCCAGACAACAGTCGGTCACGTAATCAATTAAAAAAGTGGACCAGCACTCGACAGTTGGAATTGAAGTCTTTTATTCATTTTTTCTTTTCTTTTAGGCAACATGTCCTGCTAGCACACTTTATTAACTATGTGGGTCCCCATGGGTTTGTGCTCACGTTCTGCTCTGTCATTGTCTTTATTCACAGTCCCTGAACTGAAGGAGAGGATCCAGGCATGGATGAGAGAGAAGCAAGGCCAGGGACGTTTCCTCTAATGACACCCCAACTTCGACCCCCCCCCCCCCCGCCGTCAGTAAGGGATGTTACCACCATTAATTCACCATGCGTGAATGAAATACCATCAAGAACGGGGGGAAAACGCAAGAGAGAAATAAACTAAACCTGATTTTATTTTTCTTCCCTTTATCCTTATTTTCTCGGGTCGTCATCTGAAGGCCCTTGGCTCTAAAATGAAACATAATAAAGTTAAGACTTTTAAAAGGTTTTTGCTCATGACTTTGTGTATATATCTACATATATACATAACACTGCCAGGATAAGCAGTTGTCACAGCCTACAAGTCATAGCAGCAGAATGCATTGCTACATTCATTGTTTATTTTCCCTCGGTTTTGTGAGACTTTATGTATACTTTATGTTAGCTGAATTATTACATTTCAGCTTTATGAAGGGGCGGATGATACGTTTAGGATTTGGGATCCATTTTGGTTGTCTTGGTGGTAAAACTTTCAACAAGACATTGAAAAGAAAGTGGCTGAACTAGTTCACAATAGTGTTTATCATAACCATACAGTTTACAGTACAACATGCGCACATCTTGTGCAGTTTGCTGAGGCGGCTTGGGAAATGAGAATACATATTTTTAAATGTAGCTTGAATTAAACGTGCTAGATTGTCTTGTAGACAAACGAAAACTAAATGTGAGCTTAATTTGATGAAAGTGGTAAGTGAAGCATCAGTTTAAATTATGTACGGTTGGTTAGTTTGGTTTGTGTCTCCCTGTTGATGACTTTGATAAGAGTGAATAAAGTTTTATTTGCATGGCCTAAAGTTCAGAACCTCCCAAGCGCCTCATGGCATAACCCTCTTACGATGGAGCAGAACGATCACAAAACAATGTAAAGCATCATTGTAGCATGAACACCATTGGAGAAACAATAGGATATAGGAGCACACCAAAAAAAAACATCTCCCACCTCAAGATGTCTCTCAAAGTGCACTGTTTCTTAATCCGTACCCAGGTTGCTGACTTAAACACCCAGACCCAATTTGCTCCCTCCCTCCCTCTCCTCCTTAGCCCTAACCCTTCGAAGTTTGCAGATATGAAGGATCTGGATAGATATAAACTGTGTAGTGTATATTGCTTTGCACAGATCTGCAAAAATCGAAGGGTCAGGGCCGAGGGGAAGGAGTAGGATGGGAATTGGGAATGTCTAACTGTAACTTAAGGCTCGCACACATCTCACCAAATGTTGATATCAATGTTTTTCTATATGTAAAATCAGTTCGCAAATTAGGTTGAGGTGCTAAGTGCTCTCGGCCAGCAAATGCTATTTGTGTGTCTTGGCCCTTAAAGGAAAACTCTACTCCGCAAAATGCATCATCATGATTTGGCAAGTGACACTTTGCTTCTTGAAAGTCCAATCTCTTAACTTGACTGCTGATATGCAAAACATTTTGGACTAATTAAAAAATACCAAAATATAGTTTGAGTGGATTTTTCCTTTAACTGTACAGGAATTTGTTTATTTTACCCACATACCTGTTTTGGAATCCAGGACTTTGAATTGAAATAAATGATGATGCACACACGTTCACAGCTAGTGTTGAAATTACTTTTTCAACTGGGATGGGTTATTTAATTATATTAATCAAAATGGGTTGTTTATTGATGTAATCTATAGAAATTGACCTTCGTAATATTACATTTGGATAATATAGATATATTGAATTCATATGCGTAACTAATGTAATTGTTTTCTGATTTGAACAAATTATAGCGAACCACTGGTAGTAAAAAATAAGCATGTCAATGCAAATAGGTGCAAAGGTATAAAACACTTCCTCTACTTTCAAAGAAGTTTGAGCACAATGATCTGCAAATACTGCTTTATTCCTTTGAATGAAAGTTACCACTGTTTATCAATGGCTTGATTCCAAATTAATGGTCAGGCACACTTCCCACGTGCCTGGTTGTCAAATATAAGTAGGAAGGGAGGGTATGTAAACACCTTGATTATTACTACTGGTAACTAACTAGCATTGCAGGGTACAGGAGTTGTCCAGCAATTATTCAAACGTAAAAAAAAAAAAAAATACTATGCAATTGTACAATAAACATATTTATTTAGGTTATAATATTCAGTCGTCCAGGCATTGAACATGTTGGGAGCCTTATTTTCCAGGCCTAAAAGCTGCTACAAAATGGTTTGACAGTCACTGCTATACTACAGCTGCAAGTGTTGTTTCAGTGACATGACCTTATAAAAATCAGGGGCAATAATCATAATCATTCATATATCTGTGGTAGGAGTTCCTATGTCTGTGTACTGTTAGAATCAGATAGGCCAAAGACGCATGCGATTGATTTATAGTGAACTCAATAGAAAAATCATGCCTTGCTTAAAGTCTGTAGGGCAGGTCCATCTATGTCTGAAGATTTCTATGAATTACTGTGTAATATCGTGTAATTACACTTTTTCCTGTTAGGGGGCGCCTAACACTTTGGTCCCTGTCTAGACCTTCGTAGTGCGGTGACAGCCGTACCGGGGAGCGGTGAGAAACCCTGCAGTATGGCGTCACGGCCAAATGCAACGGCCCCTATCGCATTTCGTGGAGTTTTATTGGCTCCCCAACGCATTGCTCATGCATTAGTCTGATTTCATTGGCTTATCAAACTGACAATCAGTCTAGTCGAAAGGGAGTTGACGTAATCTTCTCAGTAAATCAAGGTACTCTATCCGTTCTTTTTTTTTTTTGCTTGTGTGCAGATATACGACCGCCTTTCATCTGAACTGGAAAATAACCTCATCAAGGAAGCAACGAATGCAGTGGAAGCCTGTCTGGTGGAGACTAAAACACTGCTATAATGGGTGTTTTTCATAAAAGTGGGCTTGACCATTTTTTTGCGAGCATACTCTGATTAATAATATTATACTTCAATTTAACGCTTACTCCTTTTCGCTGCTTTTCTATGGTGCTGTAGTCTTCTTTTCGATCTTCAAAAGTAAGTTGCCTAAATATTACCTGTTTATTTCCATTCCATTTTTACTGTAGAGTGAGCGACTGATGTTTTTTGTTGCTTTTCCTTGAGATGAATTTAGTAATCTGTTGTATTCTGATCGCAAACATTTTCAAGACTTTTTTCTGATTTGATATCAAATAGACTACTTATGCACGATGGAATTGTTACAAATGATTCCAAATCGAATATCCTGCGCGTGAAGTCATTCTCTCGAAAGGCGACATCAGGCCATTCAAATCAAATCAAATGTTTTTCTAAAGCCATTTTTATACAGAAGCCCAGCCTAAAACCCCAAATAGAAAGCAATGCAGATGTAGAAGCACGGTGGCCAGGAAAAAGTCCCTAGAAAGGCAGGAACCTAGGAAGAAACCTAGGTTTGATTTCGCCAGTGCGATATCAACTGGTTTTAGTGATGGGCCTACATTGTATCATTTCGGATTAGGCTACATTGTTTCAGTTAATATTAAAAACATTTGGTATATGTTGCCAAATGCTTTACAACAATGTCTTCTGTTTTCCACTAGCCTAATTCAAATTTCGAAAATATTTTTCCTAAACATATTTCAAGGTGTAGCCACATCTCTGAACGGTTGCCTCTACCAAATATGGTAGATAGAATTGCATGGGCGTATGCCTCGGCTAGTAAATGGCTGACTGCAAGGACATGGTGAAAACATCAGATTTCTGCGAATCGATGCTCGGCCCTATTCTAGAGATTGTACAAACTAACAATCCAAATGAAATGATCAATACGTAGACTAATAGCTAGGCCTAATAGGCAGCCTAGTTATTAGACAGCCTACTGTCTTTATTCAGACATGTATTTATGTAGCATACCGGTATAATGTAGCCGCTATGTGATGAGTCGGCCATATTGTAGGCTCCTCTAGTCTAGTCTGAACATTTGGCCTACCAGCTATGATAACGGGAATTAGGTTTTGTTATTTGACCCTTTTGTGCCCTATACTTTTAATCTTAGAGAAATGCATAACATTTAAGATTTTAATGACTAGTGACATCCACTTGAGACATTCATTTGCCATTTCTCCAGTTGCTTTGTATTATATTTAAATGTGATGATATTTAACTGCTTGTAAACGTTGTGTCCATATCGCATATTTTTCCCTCTAATATCGAATCTAACAAATCATCCCTTTATTACTTATGACAACCTGCATTGAATTTGTATGTAATTCAACAGTAAAATAATAGTTTTTCTTTCTTCAGGAGAGTAATTTTTGGAATCATACTACTGGGTGAAAGTACTAAACCGCTACCATGTCTGGGGCGTCTGTGAAAGTCGCTGTCCGAGTTCGTCCCTTTAACTCGAGAGAGACGAGCAAGGAGTCAAAATGCATCATTCAGATGCAAGGCAATTCTACCAGTAAGTAACACACACACACGATATCCTCATGATATGTATGAAAAATGTATGCACTCACTAACCGTAAATCGCTCTGGATAAGAGTGTCTGCTAAATGACTAAAATGTAATGACATGTTGGACCACCTGACAGATACAAATCTAGCTTCATGACACATTGGTTTCCACATGCCCAAGCCAGCTCTGTACCTTAGGGGTCTTGGTTGAAAACAGTAGAATGAACAAAGTGAATGGATCAGTGTTGAAAAGAAACAGCCTGAAAAGGGAATGAAAGCTGTTCTGAGTGAATTCCTCTTCCTTTGTAAAGAGATGCATGCCTGAGGAGCCTCAGTGTGAGAAATGCTGAGTTGGTCCATTCTGACACAGGCTATGTCCCAAATGGACCATTATTCCCCATATAGTGCACTACTTTTGACAAGGGCCCATAGGGCTCTGATCAAAAGTAGTGCACTATGTAGGGAATAGAGTGCCATTTGGGAAGTAGACACAGCCTGCTCTTTGGGCTCTCTCCCTCTTTCTATTCATCAATGCATTGTCCCACAGTTGGGACTATTTGATATTGGTAGCAGTGCTTATCACTGGTCTGGAGTGTGTGGTTATGTCATCCTCGAGTTGACATGGAATACTCCAGAAAACACAAGTTCTACTCCACGCAGCCTTTTGGTGCACCTTCGAGGACAGACAGTAGAACTGTTTTGAGAACATGCTATTTTATATTAGGTGGACAATTATTGCTCACGATGGACTGTGTTCATAGATAGAAAATTGACAAATTATGAAAGTGGACGTTCCAGTATATGAAAAACCAATCTTTTTTATATAAAGCAAAACTGTTTTCAAAGAGTAATTGGACCTCTGTGCTGCTACTAGCTCAACCATAAGCATTCCCGTCATTTAGAATGGCGCTCTCTACAAGATGTTGAGGTTGAAACAAACAAAATTACCTTAATTGCTATTCAGTTGCTGTGTCAGCAGATGGAATTTGTCCCCATCCAATGGCATATAATGGGAATCAATGATTAAGATGGATATTGTACAGACATATTTAATGTGCTGCCCAAAGCTGGGGTCTATGTGACAGCACAGCGATATCATATTTCTGTTAGCACAGAGAAAATGAGAATAACACTATGATGTTGAATATAGAGATACACTATTTGGAAAAGGAGACGTCGCTGTTGTAATGTTTTTTTCTCCCCAGTAATTTAGTCATTTGGATTTATCCAATGTAACAGATCATTTTGGATTCGACAATGTCAGCGTGAGAGCCAGAGGCCTACATGTTGTTTGTAGCCAGTGATTCACCATGTCCACCTGTGACTATGAGTCACCAGGCTTTTTTTAAAGGGATAGTTCACTCAAAACATATCATCAGTTTTTGCTCTGTACTGAAAGTGCTCTGTCTCTGTCTTAAACTTGACTGTTGAAATGCAAATAAAAATGGGATTGTATTAACAATGGACTAATGAACAAAACACTAAAATATACTTTTTGAATGAACTATAGTTATTCCAAAACCTGTTGTTGAATGGCACATTAAAACCCTCATGAGACGAATGCCATCTCCTTCATGTCAGATAGTTATATGCCTCATTATAATATTGACCTGGAACACAAGTGACCTGGTACTAAGAGCCTGTAACACAACCCTTTTAGCAACCTGTTCCATGAACAGGTTTTGATTTGCCTTGAAGTTCAGTTGTCGCCTTTAGTCATTTGTGTTATTTCAATCACACCAGCTGGTTGTTGATTGTATCCATACACGTTCAGAGGAACGGAACTCAATGCCACCCTCGCCTGCACTTCCTAAGTACCAAACCTATCTAAAGGAAAGCTTTTAGCTGAATCCTGAGTATTTTACTTCACATCCTGGTGTTTTTTCATTAGGCCAATGACACATTGAGGTGCCCTGGGTGACTTGTGGTGTGTAGCAGAGCCGAGCTGTGGTCAAATGTTTTTTTTGGGGGTGAGGGGGAGAGGGAGGCT